AGCAGCACGTGGAAAAAGCCCAGAAATCGATTTTGCGTGAACCCTGTCACGCAGCGGACAAGCGAGCCCGGAGCGCAGCAGATTTCTCAGTCATCCCGAGCACAGAAAAGGGCCGTGACGGCACCATGAGCATACCCCACCCGAGAGACACGCAGCAGCCCGAAATGTGAAGCACGGAGAGGCGGGGGCCGCCGCCGCATCGCCGCTGGCACCTCTGGCTTTGGCCCCTCTCCAGCGCGGGCTCGCTCCGGCGCTGCAGAGGGATTTGCAGAGCACAACACATTTGCAAGGCGCAACATGGTGTTCAGACCTGAAAAAAAAAAAAAAAAAACAACCAAAAAAAAAAAAAACCCAAACAAAACAACCCAGCAGATGTTCAGTGCTTCCAAGTTGTCTGTTGGCACGATGCGCAGTGTCTTTCTAGTCTCTATTCCTCGGAGTCTGGAGTAAAACAGTCTAGATTACATGAAATACAGTGTCTTGGGTGTCTTTACATGCACTGTAAGAGGCAAGGACTGAGGAATAGCTACAATAAGTAGGATGAATAAAGCAAATCCTCTTACACATTTAAAACTATTATTTGAAAGTGACAAACTGTTCATGCCCAAGATTGCATTATTTTAACACCAAGAAAAAGAGCTGGTCCAAGTTTCCAGCCTCACTTTTATTTAAGACAAGCCAGAAGCCAGCACCCAGAGGCAGGGCTTCCTGCAGTGTTTACACAGCTTCTGTCAGAGTTAGACCCTTCTGCAAAGCCGGAGGAAGCATCTCTTTCCTGATGCCTGTTTCAATGCTGAGTTCAGCTAATGGACTGAGGCAACATAAATTTCTACGCCTAGCAGAACCCCACACCAGCCCCTAACTCGAAGCATATCAAATGACTAAAAGCTCCAAGCACACAGATGTGATACCTTCCAGGCATAAAGAGGACTTGAAATCCATAGTAATTTTCTTTGTGTGAATAGCAAGGTGAACTTTGCTTTCAATTTCAGCATTTAATACATGGCAAATACCAGATTCGCTGTAGCTTGGGAGGAGCACGTTTGAGCGTTCATTCAATCACATTCCACATACAAAAACTACTAAGATAATATTGTTTCCAGCATTTACACCCAACATTTACCAAGCGATCTCTGTAAGAATTAGATTATATCATTCATTCTGGGTCAAAATCCAATTATGACTAATTTTTTCAGGGGCCACCAGCATGGCAAGGAGCTTGGTAATAACCCAGTACATGTTTCTGAAAGCCATGACTGGGGAATCCAAAGGTCCAATCATGTCTCCATTAGTACCTTCTCAGATACTTATTCAATGTAATAAAAAGAAACGAACAAGTCATCTGTAGCAATTCTGCAGAAACCAAATGCTGGGTGTCACTGGGGTCCATACGAGTGCTGGGGGTGCTCACACCACCAAGCTATTCCGACCAGGACATTGGTGTTAGAAACTGCTTTTTGAAAGACATTAGTTCCCATTAGACCATCTGGAAAATGAATGTTTGGAAACATTTCTGTGATCATAGGGTTTTGCTGCCAAAACTGGTGCAAGTGTGTGACCTATGCAAGCTCTCCTACCTGTTACACTTCACGCGTCTGCATTAGTTTTCCTTCCTTCTTTGTTTCTGCTCTTCGGAAAAAGCTGTCATCCTGCTCTGGCTCTGTATTGCAATGCCACTAGAAAAAGTGGAGGATTGGAGGAATCCTCCTCCTTTTCCCCAAGGTTTTCCCTGTGTCTTGGGCTACCTCCCGCTCTGCCTGCCAGAGGCTGCTTCCCGCACACTGGCCGCTGCCGTCTGCGTTTAGGTGAACGCAAAATATAGGTGGCTTTAACAGCTTGGATGATGTTTTCTTACAGTCGACATCCAGCAACAAGCCAACAAGGGCCAGTGGCTCTGGGAGCGAAAAGCAACAAGTGCTCTTCAGCACTTTCTCCTCTGTCGGCTCCCTTCAGCCAGGGCACCCCTGCAAACATCACCGCGGTGTCACACTGTGATGTCACCGCTGTGGGGCACGAGCATCAGAATTTCCCAGCAGCACCCCCAGTCAGCTGGCGCCAGTTGGGCTTTTGCTTGCTGACTGGCAGGACAAGGCCTGGCTGCTCAGGGCGATGATGGCCAGAGAGAGGAGCTTCAGTCCAGCAGGGACAGAAGAAATGAAAGAGGACTTCTTATTCCTCTGCTTTCCACATAAGCTTTGGAAAATAGTGGAAAGTGACCAGTTTCGGTCTGTTTGGTGGAGTGATGGTGGAAAATGTGTAGCCATCAATGAAGACCTCTTCAAAGAGGAGGTGCTGGGCAGGAGAGGACCTTTGCGGGTTTTTGCCATGCAGAAGATGAAGAGTTTCCTTCGACAGCTGAACCTCTATGGATTCACCAAAATGCCACGGGATTTCCAAAGATCTGCCTCCCTGCCTGAATTCCTGGCAGAAGAAGCAGCAGCTTCTGCTCACAGCCAGGTACAGCAGTTGCTCCGCACATCAACTAATGCTCACAGCAGTCCTGGGGGAGAGACAGACTGACCTACACATCAAATAAGGCCTTGCAATAGAGGACGTGGGGATGGTAGTGAGCGGTCTGGTTTTAATTTCCTTCTCGGGTTGTTTTCAGGAGGGTTTGAATTAGTCTTTCTTATTAGTACAAACACAGCTAAAACAGTTCGATTGTATCCACTGAGTTTGAACCCATTAAATGGAAAGACAGACTCAGTGTAACCCGATTGCTCTGAACGTCTTTGCTATATGCCCTGCTGCACCAAATCTGAAACCTTCCTGTGGCATCTGCTGAATGCTGAGAAGGTACATCTAAGGACAATAGTATTGCCTGCTTGCTCATATCCACACTGAAGTTGCTGAAAAGTCATGGTATTTGGCTTTCAAAAGCAGTTCTTATGCTTTTGAATGTCCTACACTGCTCTGCTCCCAGACGGCAAAAACCCAGGGGTGGCAATGACTGAACAGAACCGTCATGTAACGTTTTAGCCTGAGCTTCAGGTTTCAAATCACCCTCAGAGTCCTTTTCAATATCCATGTTCATCTTTTTCAACTCAAAGTTGTAGTTCTTGTAGCTTGGGGATTTCCAGTCTTGAAATGGTGTCAACTACCTCTTCGCCTTTACTTTTTTTAGATACTCTACTACTATAACCCCAACTTTAACAGAGACCATCCCCACCTGCTGGCAAAGTGCAAGAGGAGAACTGGTCTCAAACAGAGACCCCTGGATGCACCGGCGGTGGGTGAAAGGCACCGCTCCATGAGCCCACACCGTCAGCCTGCAGGGAACACGCCGGCGTCTCCACCCGTGATGACCACACCGACCAAGCGACGGGACGAAGCACCTCCCGGCCTCGGCAGCGCCCACCCATCCCCACGGGCAGATGCTCCCACGCTTCCAGAGCCTGCCGGAGCAGCAGGCAGCGGGAGGGTCACCCCCCTGTGCCTCTTCATTCTGCTCTCACCCAGCAGCCAAACCCCGACTGGCCTCCAGTGTGCTGCTCATGCTCCTCCACTGTTTGCAGTGCCCGAGCTGGCAGCAGTCCCGGCTCTGCCGAGGCCAAGCCCACCCCACGGCCAAAGCCCAGCAGTTCCCCACTGCCCCACCTGCACCTGCAGCCCCAACCCTGCCGATGGACCCCAGCACAGCACATCCTCGGGAGAGCCCAGGGAGCTGGCAGCAAGTCAGTAGTATCTAATTAGTAGCATTGCTAATAGAGTTGGTTAAGAAACAGAGCTTAGTAGAGTTAGTAATAAACCTTTGGAACAATAAACGTTTTCCAGTTGTCCTGTCCTGTTTGCACAGCACAGCCCCAGGGTGAGTCCCTGTTTTACCACCCAGACACTAAGCAGAAGCAACTGGTCTGCCACCAGCTGAACCATTTCTGGTCAGATCCTCACCTGTTTTTTTTAGCACTAGAGAGTAAAAGCCAGGATGAGTGTTGCATGGTGCATGCACCAGGGATGCTCTTCCCCATGACAGCTATGAATGAGAGGGCCTCTCGTCTGCAGAGACATTCTCCCAAGGTCTCCACAAGATCAGGAGCTGAGAAGTCCTGGGACCCTTCAGGTGACACAGCTGGGCCATGGAGCCATGGCTTGGCTTTTACCAGGAGGAGACAACCCATTATCCAGTGACCAAAAAGAAGAAACACTGATAACAGCATTTACCAAGGCCCAGTTCAGCAAAGAGGATTTAACTGAAGGACCTAAACTAGATGCTGCTTCACGCTGCCCTTCCTTTCCACTGAGCAGGGAGTTCATTTTTTGGCGAGAGCTGGCTTGTCACACATGCTGCGGAGAGCAATCCATGCTTTGCAGTGGTTTACATTAACCAGCATAAGAAATAAGGGTGCAAGTTTGTAAGTCCCCAGTAAACACGCAGTGCTACGCAGCACGGTCTCATCATGGAGAGAATGCCCAAGTGATGGCCTAAGATCAGAGAACCGAGCACGTGATAACCCCACCCCAAGTTGAACATCCAGGTGAAGATGCCAACATCTTCACCTAAGCTCGGCCGGGGAGGCAGTGTATCATCTCATGCCTGCTCCTGATCACTCTAAAATAGATATTGCTGAGTCAGCAGCCTGGGCTAGAGAAATCGGCGCTCTTTCGTATCATTCTAGGGCTGAACTGGTCTGCATATAGTCACCCAGGAGAAAATCAAAGTGGGGGCACTGGTTTCACACCGCAGCCCTCTGTGCCCAGTGAGGGGCTGGGGGGGCCCGCACTCCTGTGGCTGCAGCCGCACAGGCATGCCTTTTCACCCCTGGAGCCTCTGCTTTCTGGCCGCACCCCATCATTCCCCCTTTTCCCATCCTCTTCCCCCATTACCCCCCCTTCCTATATCCTTCCCCATACGTCTTCCTCTTCTTTTCTGGCTTCTCTGAGGTATTACACTCCCAGACGCCCTGTCCTGATGCACAGCCCTTGCCAGCATCCGGAGGTACCACCGGTGTCACGGGGGGACCCTCCCAGCCCAAAACATGCTGTGGCAGAAGACAAGATGATGCTTGCGGGTGCCTACTGGTTTTATTAGCAGCCCCGTGGTGGGGTTCCCAACCCCACAGCGAGGGTGCTGAGGCGTGGGGCGGTGTCACCCTGCCCACCCCGGTGTCCCCAGTGTGGCGGGGGGTGGGGGTGGGGGAGGTCACCCAGCGAAGCCCAGGGTGTCGCAGCGGGGTCCCTGCCACTTATTGTAGCACTGGCAGCTGAACTCCTTGGCCAGCTGAGTGACGTCGTCACCGGAGTCCAGGCTCTGGGCCACCAGCCAGGGCTTGCCGGCTTGCAGGTCGATGGCAAAGCGGGAAGGGTCGAGGTGGAGGAAGCCCTGCTTGTTCTCCCGGCGCACGCAGCGGCCCTGGCCGGAGCACAGGCTCTGGCTGCAGAGATCGGCGCTGGCCGTCACGTTGACGATGTAGTGGCCCAGGGGCCCCTCCACGTAGTCCTTCAGCCTGAGGCACATCTCCTGCAACAGCACGTGGGGTCACAGCCCTGCGCGGAGGGGGGACGGGGGGTCCCCGTGGGCAGTGGCGCGGTGCCACCCATCGCACTCACCTTGGAGGTGCTGTAGTTGAGGCTGCCCCAGAGGATGATGCCGGCGGCGCCCTGAGCCGCGCTCTCCCCGATGGTGTGCATCAGGTCCTCCTGCACCCAAGGGAAGAGGAGAAGTCGACAGTGCCCAGAACTCCCGCACCACCCCGGCAGAGCGAAAGACCCCCCCGGTGCCAACCCACCAGCCCGAGAGGTGCCCCACTGTCCCCACGTCCCCATCACCTGGGAGAGGAAGTCGGTGGTGCAGTCAAAGGCGATTTGGGAGTAGGGCAGGACGGGGATGCCGTCGTTGAGGACGTCACGCTGGACGGCAAAAGCCTCGGCCACGCGATGCCGGACGTAGGTGAGTGCCTTGTTGGTGCCTTTGAAGCGGGGGGGCAGGTAGATGCTGGGGTAGAGCGCCCGGCTGCTCCTCCAGAGCCACTGCAGCTCCTTGTTCCTCTGCTGCTCCACCACTGGGCACGTCCCGGTGTAGGGCACGCTGTTAAAGTTGTTGTTGTAGCAGTTGGGGAAGCCGTAGAAACCCCAGTAGCCACCGGGACGGAGGGTCTCGCCCAGCCGCAGGGTCTGCTCCATGAAGTCGCGGGCGCTTTTCTCAAACTGCTGCTTGGCCGTCTTGTTCACCAGCTCGGGGGGCCACTGCGGGTGCTGCTGCCGCACCAGCTCCTCCGACTTCTGCCGGTAGATGTCCATGGAGGCCCAGTTGCGGATCCACAGCGGGCGCCACTTCTCCCAGTCGATGACGGCCAACCCGCCGTAGGCAGGGCTGGGCAGGGTGACCTCGATGTCCCGGGTGGCCTGCTGGAGATGAGCCTTCAGGCTGGCATTTTGTGGGAGCCCCCCGTTCACTGGCACCCCCCCAGAGGTGTAGTAGGGGAAGAGCCCCAGCTTCTCACTGTAGAAGAGAGTGATGTCCTGCCCGATAAAGGACTGCTGGTCGTTGGCCAGCACGTCGAAGATCTCCAGGTTGAGGGTGACGTTGAACCTCTTGGCACAGCGCTCGGTGGGGATGTTCCAGATGGTGACGAACGGGCGGTTGATGAGGACAGGGCCGGGCCCCCCAGCGCGGGCCGGGCCGAGCAGGAGCAGCAGGAGGACCCAGCAGGACCACCCCCATGTCATGGTGCTGGAGGGCGCAGGATGGGTGCCGGGGCTGCCTGGGGAGAGCCGAGACAGCCTGAGACCTGGGCAGACCTCAGCGCTTTTATCCCCAGCCCGAGCTGGGACCAGCACTAATCCACACCCCCGTCCCCGAGCGGTGCCAGTCACCCGGGGTCACCTCTCCCAGCTCCTCGCGTGAAGTCCCCAAAGTTATCAGCAGCCGGAGCCCAGCACGGCGGCCCCGGAGGGGGCACAGCAGCGTGCCAGCCCCGGTTAATGGCTGGCGGCGGCGGGCCCGGCTGGAGAGGAATGCACAGAGTCAACACCCGGTGACGGGCCGGCGATGAGCTGGGCTGGAAAGACAAACAAACACGGACGGAGTGGGGGGGCAAGGTCACGGTGACGGGCGTGGGCCGTGCCGGGCGGGCGCCGCTGGGGAAGTGCGGGAGCATCGGCCATTAAATGGCAGGAGGAGGGCAGGGCACTGCTCACGGCATCGGGCAGGACCTGGCGGGACACTGTCTCGGGAAAGGTGGCGGCACCGTCTGGGGACACCCACGCGTGGGGACAGGAGCCACGGGAGGGCACCGCCTGGGGACACTCGCGGCACGGGGACAGCAGCCACAGGAGGGCACGGCCTGGGGACACGCACGGCAGCCGAGGGGTGTCGGCAGGAAGGGGGCTGTGCCACGCAGGGGCGGGCACCCCGGCACCGTGGGGCCGTGCCGTGCCCACGGGCAACCCAAGGACAGGGCAGCGCCGCGAGCGGCTGCAAGGGCACGGGCAAAGGGACAAAGGCAGAGCAGGGCAGCGCCGGGGACACGAGCCAGGCGAGGGCACCGCCCGGGGACACTCGTGGGACAGGACAGCAGCGTTCAGAGACACCGGCGGCGCAGGGGTGGCCCCGGCCCCCGCAGGGTTGTACCCACCCCCGGCCGTGGCGCAGAGGACGGTGTCCCCACGCGGCTGTCACGGTCGCGTGGGGGCTCCAGCCCCGCGGACGGATCCTGCCGCGCCCACGGCCCGCGGCTCCGGCCAGGGGGCGTGGCCAAGGCAGCCAGGGGGCGTGGCCACAGCGGGGGATACCCGCTGGCAGCGCGGCGGGGGGGCGGAGCCTACGGGCAGGGGCGTGACCAAGGAGAGGGCGGGGCGGGCCCTCGGCAGTCTCCACGTGGGTGGCCCGGCCGTAGCCCCGTCGCGCAGCTCCCACCCGCGGGGAAGGTCCAACCGCCGCGGCGCCTTCCCCCAGCCCAGGGAGGCTATGCCTGGGGGTACGGTTAGGCAGCAGTAGGGCGACCTGCGCCACCCCCCCAAAATCAGCCCACACCCCTCTCGCACTCCGGCCAGCTTTATTCGAGGTAAAGCACTTCGGTGTGGGGCAGCGCACAGGGGCTCAGCACCACACAGCACCCGCTCCCTGCCCCCATGCCCCCCTTGCCCCCATCCCTCTCCTTACAACAGGAGAGGGCCCCCCCCCCCCCCCAATAAACCCCACCCTCCTTCCCTCCCCGGAGTGGGGGGGAAATGCCCCACAGCAAGGAAGGCAGAGATGAGGCAACCACACAGCTCTCCACCCCTGCAGTGAGGGGCAGCCCCCCCTAGTGAGCTGCATCACAGGGATATCTTAAATAAGTCCCCTACACCACCACAGAAAGGGGGTGCTGGGGGGTTGGGGCTAGCTCAGTCCAGGGGCATTAGCCCCAGCTCACAAGCAGCAACAGCACCCCAAGTCCCAGTGGTGCCAGGGGGTCAGGGGCACGGCTGCGGGGGCCAGCGGGCACCTGGCAGCCGCTGCCCTGCCAGCCCTGGTAGCAGTGGCAGCGAAAGTGGGTCCGTAGGAAGAGGGTGTCAGCAGGGGACAGCTGGCCCTCGGCCCAGAAGAGGGGGTGCTGGGGGTGGTCCCCATCCCGGCGCCGCAGCTGAAAGCTGGTGGAGTTGAGGTGGAGGAAGACGTCGGCGGTGCTGTCCTGGCGCAGGCAGCGGCCCCGGCCCTGGCACAGCACCGTGCTGCAGAGCTGCGCTGCCGTCGTGACGTTCACAATGTAGCGGCCCAGGTCCCCCTCCAGGTAGTTCTTGAGGATCTGGCATGAGTCCTGGGGGAAGGGGGCATCAGGGGCATGTTGGGGTGCCCCGGGGAGAGAAGCACCCCAGATGGAGAGGACACCCCAGCCTCAAGCCACTGGTTCCCCTCTGAGAGGAAGTGATCCCCCCCATCTATCATCTACCTCCCCAGGGGCACGTTGACACCAAACCTACCCGGTTTTTAGTGTAGTCCGCGTCACCCCAGAAAATGGCTCCGGCTGCACCCAGTGCTGCACTCTCTCCGATGGTGGAGATCAGATCTGGCTGCGGGGACAGAGCCTGGTTAATGCCCAAAGACCCCACACTGCACCCACAGGCCCCAGCACGGTGCGCTCCAGAGAGCCCACTGTGGGGTCAGGGAGGCAAAACCCATCCTTGCTCCAGGATACAGGGAGAGGGGACTGTCCCAGCTCCTTGGGGACAAGGCTCCTCACCACCACCCTCCTCCTCCTCGGGGGCTGAGCCAGCACAGCACAGGGGCTGTGAGCTCACATACCCCAGGGTCTCGGCTGCTGGGACCCAGGAGCCCTGTGGGACCCACCAGGCACTTCCCTGGTGATGGTGACCACTGGTGCCAGCCCTGCTGTCACACACCTTGCCCGTAAGGAAGGACAGTTGTGGCACCCCATTATCCCCCCCCACAGGGAAGCTGAGCTGGGGGTCCCCACACCATGACCCCCTCCCTTTGGAGGGACGGAGGCAGGGCTGGCCACGCCTCCTGCTCCCCAGGGCCAGCACCGTACCGAAGGGTGCTGCTCCCCACCCCGCGTGGAGACAGCCAAACCACAGGGTGCTGGTAGCACCGTGAGGATGGACACCAGCCTCCAGAGCCACCCCGCTCCATGGGAGCGCAATGGGACACGGGCAGAGGGACCACCTCGACTGACCCCAGAGCCCAGGTGCCCAACGTGTGGGAGAAGGATGTCCCAGTGGTGCAGCCCTACCTGGCTGAGCACATCCAGCTTGCGGATGTAGGTGGGCCGGGTGTAAACGAAGACGGGCAGGGAGTAGCCATCGTGGTGCTGCTGCGAGATGCGCATGGCCTCCATCACCCGTGCCCGCACGAACTTGCGGCTGTTGGGGGTGGAGGCCAGGAGCAGGTCAAGGTAGATGGAGGGGTAGAGGGCCATGCTCTCCCTCCAGAGCCACGCCAGCTGGTCATTGCGCGTTTTCTCCACGTCCGGGCACTGCCCAGTGTAGCTCTCCTTGTTCTTGCTGTAGTCATGGTTGTAGCAGTCAGGGAAGAGGTAGAACCCCCAGAGCTGCTTGGGTCGGAAGCTCTTGGCCATGCGCAGGGTGCTCACCATGAACTGCCGGGCGGCCGACTCGAACTCGAACACCGCCTGCTTGTTCACCTCCTCGCGGGACCAGGCGGGCTGCCGCTGGTACACCAGCTGCTGTGACACCTCCCGGTAGATGTCCTTGGGCTTCCAGTTGCGAGCCCAGATGGGCCGCCACTCCTCCCAGTCGATGACTGCCAACCCCTCCTTGGCGGGCGAGCGGATGTACTTGCTGATGCCCTCCTGGAGGCGGGCGAGGTGCTCGGACAGGCTGCTGTTTTGGGGGACGCCGCCGTTGACGGCCACGCGCTGGCTGGTGTAGTAGGGGTAGAGCCCCAGGCGCTCCTTGTAGAAGATGGTGAGGTTCTGCCCCACGAAGCCCTCGTTGGGGGAGGCGTGCAGGTCGAAGAGGCTGAAGTCGAGGGATACATGGAAGCGGGGCTTGCAGTCCTGGGTGGGCACGTTCCAGGCCACCAGGAAGGGCCGGCGGGTGAGCAGGGGGGCAGCCGATGGCTTCTCGGGGGGCTGCCGGGCCAGGGCCAGCAGGGCCAGCCAGGGCACAGCCGCCGCCGCCGCGCAGCCCCCGCGCATCCTGCCCGACGGGGGCCTGGGGGGCACAGCGGGGAGAGGAGGGGGTTGGGAGGGGGTGCGGGCAGGGGGGGGCTCTGCCCGCACCGCCACCCCCCCACACACGCACATACGAACAACCGCCCCCCGAGGCGGACCCTACCCCAAGCCTCCTCCACACACACCCCCCGCCCGTGGCAGAGGGGTCCCGGGGAGAGCCCCCGGGGGACTGGTTCGCGGTCCCCACCGGCTCCACCCGCTCCCGGTCTCGATCCACGCCGCCGCTCCCCCCCGGCTCCCGCTCCCCCCCCCCGCCCCGGGTGCCGGCACGGCGCCGCCTTTGTCCGAGAGCGGCAGACAAAGCGGCGGGGCGCGGCCCCCCACGGCCCCGCTTCCCGTCCCGCTCCGCGTTCCCCGCCCGTCTCTCACAGCGGCTCACGCCATCCCCCGCCACGGGCTCCCGCCGGCACCGCCTCCCCCCCGCCGCCCGCTTTAAACCTCCCCGGCGCGCACCACCCGCGGGGGGGGGGGGGGGAGGTGCCGCCTCCCCGCCCCGCCCCGCCCCGGCCGCGGCACCACGGGCTGGTGGCGCGGACCATCGAGGGGACACGGGGGATCGGACCGGAGGCGGACCTTCACCCCCCCCCCCCTCCTTACACACACACACACACACACCTCCGTGGAGTCGCTGCAACGGGTAAGGCGCGATACCCCCTCCCCGTCTCGTCGAGTTTGGTACGGCCCGGGAGGCCCCGCCCTCCGTTCGGCGGAAGGGGGCGGGGCTGCGGGGGTGCCGGCAGGGGGCGCCGCGGCGCGCGGGGTGGGGAGTGGGGGGGTGCAAGGAGCTGCGGTGCTCGGCTGGGCTGGAGGGCGGGGGGGGGGGGGGGGGTGTCCCCAAAATGGTGGTGACCCCAGGGCGGTGGTGAGCCCAGGTAAGTGGTGACCCTCACATGGTGGTGTCCCCAGGGTGGTGGTGACCCCAAAACGGTGGTGACCCTCAGGACCATGGGCCACTCCAAAATGGTGGTGACCCCCAGGACGGTGTCTCCTAGGTGATGGTGACCCTGGAACAGTGGTGACCATCCTAGGATGGTGTTCCCTGGATCAGGCTGTCCCCAAAAGAGTGGTGACCCCAGGAAGGTGGTGACACCTGAGCGGTGGCAACCCCAGAATGGTGGTGGCCCCAGCACTGTGGTGTCCCTGGGGCAGTGGTGTCCCCAGAACTGTGGTGTCCCCAGCACAGCGGTGTCCCCATGGTAGTGGTGACCCCGGCAGGATGTCCTGTGTGGGCCCGGTGCAGTCGGTGCTGCTGACTCAGCCGCGGCCCCGCGAGTTTCCTGCCCAGGGGGGACACACGGGGGGGCCACGGAGGCAGCAGGGCTGGGGGGGCTTCCTTCCTGGGGCACCTTCCTTCCCGGGGCACCGCCGAGGCTCCGGCAGATCCCCCCCAGGCGGGCAGGGGGACAGGCGGGACACCAGGAGCAGCCTGTCCCCTGCCTGCCCTGGCTGGGGCTGGGGGCCATGGGGCTGCCCCCATGGAGGAAATGCCGGGGCCAGAGCGCGAGGGTGTGCCGGGGCCGGCGGGGGAAGGAAGCGGGGCTGAATCTGCGGAAGCGCTCCCCAGCCGCCTGCCAGCTCCCCGGGGAGCGGGAGGGAGCACCGAGCCCGGCATTGTTCGGTGCCGGCGGTGCCAAGCCCAGGGCCGCAGGCACCCGCAGATGGCTCCGGTTAGCAGGACCCGCTTGGGTGTCAGCTTTCGTGGCGAAGCTCCCACCGAGAGGGTGACGGGTACCGACGGGGATGGGCACAGCGTCCGGGCTGGCCGCTCCAAATCCCGGCTGCACCCCACGGCTCGGCCCGGCGTGCGGACAACACTGGGGACCAGCTGGGAGAGGGGCAGGGAAGGTCGGCCACTGCCTGGGCGTTGGCTGCCAAAACCCTCGGGAGAGATTGTGGGGAGCCAAGAAATCCCAGCGCCGGCGGGCGCTGCCCTTCCCCTCCGGGCAGTAAACAGGCTCCCTTCGCCGGCAGCAGAAATGCCTAAAATTTTCCATCCTCCACGGCCTCGTGCACTGAAGGTAACCAACCCCGCCGGCAGCGGGGTGGCTGGAGAGGTCACAGCTTTCCGCGGCCGGGAGGGCTGGAAGTCCTCAACGCAATGTAGCTTCTTGCTGTCGTCCCCTCAGGAGGGCTCGGCCTCGCCTGCCTCGGTTTCCCTCCTCCCTTCCCACAGGGGAAGGCCCTGGATTTTGGAAGGGGACAGCTACGCAGATCCAGCCTCCCCTCTCCCATCTCGCCCCGCTGAGCGTGAGATGATTTTAAGCCGTTCCCAGCCGGACAGGAGAGCGGAGAGGGACACAGGCGAGCTGCACCCCGCGGGCAACCGGGTGGCTGCGAACCCCTCGGGGACGCCGGATAAGGGGCATTAGTCACATCCGCTAGTGCCAGGCAGGTCTGGGCAAGGTGCGAGAGGAGCTCGGCTTGGGGAACGGAACAGGAGGGGAGGTCAGCACCCGCCTCTGCCCCGGGCCGGGGGCTGCAGGCACGGCCCTGCCCCGTGGGCAAGAGGAGGGGGACTGGGGTGGCTCCAGCAGACACCGGGGTGCTCACGGGGCCGGTGAGCCACAGCCACCACCTTCCTTAACCTCGCCGAGCCGTAACGCCCTGAGCAGCCACCCAGTCCCCCTCGAGGCCACCACCATCGGTCCCTCCCGGGGCCGTGGCCCCTACGGATCAACGGGCAAAAGTCCCAGAGCCTTCCCCCGCAAGCCGAAGTGCTGGCAGGACACGCCACACCACTCACTCTCATTACAGCTTTCGTCAGCGGCTCGCTTCCGAGCCGGCTTGCGCGGAGGAAATGATGAGAGGTGGCGGTGGCTGCAGTTAAACATTTGCAGGGCTGCCGGGGGCAGGACGTGGGGCACAAAGTGAGATCACGCTCGCCCCACGGACAGCCGGCACCGCTCAGGGGACGGGCGGCATCCCGGCACAGGGTCACGCCGGGTCCAGGAAAGTCGTCAGGCCCCAGTGATTAATGATCCCACTGATTTGGCAGGGCAGGCGATGAAGAAGCGGACAGGCGGATCCTCCCCCCCGTGGGGCTCGGGCGGAGGGACGGGAAAAGGCCAGCTTGAGGCTGGGCTGCCCCTAATGCCTGGGTCCCTCCAGACCTACCTCCCCACACAGGAGGGGAGAGGGGCCTAAGCTCCAACCCTACTGGGCTGAGCAAGAAAATGACATATTTATTTATATAAACACGTTTTAGTTACGTATTTAAAGGATGTCACAGCAGCAGAGTCACAACCTGACAAAGCCGCCAACGCCACGTGCTGAACTGGAGCACCTGGAAATGGTCGCGACTCACAGCTCCTTCACCACCAGTTCAGCCCTGTGTGCACAAACGCCCCACTCCCGAAAAAACAAGGGGCTCGAAGTGCTGGTGGCAAGCAGAGCAGCACGGCAAAGCCCCCTTCTCCTCAGCTCTCCACCACCTCCTTCCTCCACCCACGGGCACAGCCGCCCGCCCACCCGCCCTCCCCAGTAAGACAGCTCTTGGACTTGCGGGCTCTACAAATAATTTTATTGAAATTTAACAAAAGTGGACAGATGCACTGGGGAGAAGGACCATAAATAGTGTACATTTCCCAAACCCACGGGTCCTACCCACACGCTAGAGGACCAAGGAGCCTAGTGTCAGTGAGTACGTCTTGGCTACACATCCACACGGGAAAGCACAATGTTGCACAGAAATCATTTAAAAAAAAAAAAAAAATCAAAAGGAAAACCTTACTTTTGTTGGATTTTTTTTTTTTTTTTTGCTTGCTCCAACACCACAGTGGACACAGATACTATTTACAGCGACCTTCACATTTTTAAGATCCCTCCAGGTGCTCCCAAGGCCCTGCAGCTGCAGGAGGGCTGGAGGCCGGCGGAGCAGAGGGGGCCCGGGGGGCGGCTGCTCGGGGACCAGCCTGGGAAGAAGCGGGGCAGGACGCAGCTTGTTGGCAGCCTGCGGAGGTTCTGCTGCCGCCGGGTGACATGGGGGTGGGGGGTGGGTGGGAGAAGGCGTGATTTTTTGGGGGGGGAATCATGTCTGAAATCCTGGGGGAAGGGTGGGCAGCCTGTCAGGGAGGACAAAAGCATCCTTGCTAAGCCAGTCTCGGTCTCTGCCCCCCCCTGGGGTTCAGGCTCTGCCTTGTCAGCAGATTTTTGGCCGGTAGCCAGGCGAGGGGCTCCCTGTTGGGGCAGGCAAATGGCCCCAGCCCCCTCCCCACACCTCCTCTGCCTTCTCCAGTACCGGAGGCGGGCTTGGTGCAGCTTCCCGCGCCCTTGGACAGCAGCGGGGCGAGGCTGTGCAGGCAGCCCGGCCACGGCTTTCTCTCCTCTTCCTGGGGATAGCAGCTCCCGCTCTCCTGCGGAGCCCGGGGGGATGCCCCTCCCACGGAGATCCAGCCCAGGAGCAACTCGAAAGCAGGTGGTGCGAGTAAGAAACACTTCAGTGGAGGATTGTTTTAAGACAAGACTCTTTCAAGCAAGCAGGAGAACAAAAGATGTTGAAAGCAGTGCCCAGCATCACAGTGTAGACGAGCTCCCTGCCAGAGCCCTGCCCTCCTGCTTCCCTGCCCGGTGGCAGCCAGCACATCCGCTTCCCCCACGGTACTTCACCCTCCATGCTCACTCCTGCCGATGGGAACAGTGGGTGGAGGGACACGGAGGGAAGAGGTGGTGACAGGAAGACGGCAACAGCCACGCGGCTGTTATCTCCCCGAAGCCGGGAATGTGGCCCCACACCCGGGCAGCTCTCGGCAGGCGCAGGGATGGATACATCCAAAGTAGACGCCGACAGGGCTGGCAGCCAAGTGCCAGCAGCTTAAATTAAAAATCGAGGTAGCAAACATCTGAAGTGCTTAGAAAGTAAATAAGTTCTGGAACGAAAGAGGAGGAAAGCCGAGCTGGCTGCTGCGGGGAGCAGGCTCCGACCCAGTTTAAAGCTGTGCCCGCTGTCGGTTCTCCTCCACCTGACGGGTCCGGGGCAGCCGAGCGGGGAGGCAGTGGCTCCCAGCGCTGGCGAGGGGCAGTACGGGTCAGGCCTTTCCCTGGCCCTGCGGCAGCTCGCTCGGCACCCCGGGGCCCGCATGCAGGGGAGGTTGTTCGGTGCTGCCAAGATGACCTCGAGCTTCTCAAACGAGAGGAAAGGGGAGAAAAGAACAGGACCTTCCGAAACGGAGCAGAAAGCCTCCCTTTAAAGTGCATCACGTTTCTCTTCCTGCTGCCAGATGGGACGCGGGAGGAACCGTCGTTCACATCGCCAGGGAGATTTCCAAGCCACGCCAGGCCCACCGATCGATTGTCTTCAGGGGACAGGGAGGGAAGAGATGATTTCCTTCCTGCTTGGCTCTGTCAAGGCCCACCCCACCGGGAGGTACGTTCAAGATGGCAGCGGGGTGTGAGGATGTTTACGAGGAGACACCTTGCCCTGCAGCCCGGCCCCGCCGCGGGCGAGGGACGGTGCTCAGTGGGAGCCAGCTTGCTAACGGGGCTGGCAATTCTGCTGCAAAGCTGGGGACCTCGCTGCGACCAGCAGTGGCCACAGACCGCAGAGATCTCCTGCAGGCTGAGGGACTGCAGGCAGCAGCGAAGCCAACTTCCCCAGAGCCGGCATAAGCGGGGAAACGCACAGGGGGAAGAGACCAAGGTCCAAGATAGCGGCATCTGATCTCCATCCCTTTCCCAAGAGGAGCGCAGCAGCCAGCTGGATGTGCTTCGAAACTGGCCCCTCCTCAGCCTGCCCCGTTCATCCTCCATCAGCGGACCCAGCCAGGGGAGCAGCACGTAACACCCACATCAAGCGACACGCCGCAACACTGGCCATCTAACCACCAGGCCCGAGGGATCTCGGGGCCCCGGGCAGTGTGTTACCTTGCCCTGGCTCTCCCTGGGCCGCATACCTGAGAAGCAGGGGATTTCCTCTGGTGAGAAGTGCAGTCTCAAACGCAGCAGCTCGTTTGCAGTTCCAGTTACCCATCAAACGTCAGCTAGAGGCTACGAAAGGTATTTTAGTCTTCCGGCTCAAGCGAGGATGTTTTTAAGCAGTCGTTGCACAAGGTCACCCATCTCCTGCGAGGAGCGCTAGCCAAGCCCAGCCCAGCCCGCTCCGGCCCGCCTCACCTCCGGGCGAGGGGAGCCGCTGTCCCGCCGCGCGCCCAGAGTCCTCCTCCTCGGGTGGGGACACGACGTAGCCTCTCCTGGTGAGGCTGGGGGCAGTGGGGCAGAGCCTCCCGCCCGCGGGCAGCAACGTCCGGCGACTCACACCTCGCAGATGATCACCGGGAAATCTACGTGAATGCGAGGGTGCTCTAGTTTCACTATGCCCTGGAAGAAGAGTCAGAGGGGTGAACAGAGGAGACCACCAAACACCAGCCCCCAGCCCTGCCGAGTCACCCCTGCACGACAGAGGCCACCCTTGAGGAACAGGAGCCCATAAAGCCACCACGACGCCAGGTACGCCTGAGCAGCAGCATGCAAAGCAACAGCACTTTGCCCTTCGAACGTGTCCCTGGAGAGCCGAGGGCAGCGTGGCTGGCTGCCACACATGGCGGGTCCGGAGCTCAGCAGGGCGAGAAAGGAGGGAGCTGCTCTGCCAGGCACTGCCCGTGCAGCAGCTGGTGCATGACTGGCAGATATTGGCCGTCTGGGCTTTTCATCCGGCACCTTTCATTCACGGGATTTAAAAGAATGAAAAGAGCTCTCTGAGAGAAAGCAGCCAGGGCAGCTGGCGCATAAGAAAAGCAGCTTTCTATCCAGAGGGGAGGCTGCTGAATGCACGCTCCCTCCACACCAGCTACAGGCGCCTTTCCCATGCTCCGTCCAAGCCTTCTCCTGTTACAGCACCGGGAGGACCCGCTGGGAGGAGGGGGGGCTCGGGGCCGGGCCTGGGCCTGCACCCGCAGAGCCAGAGAAAAGCCTGGGCTAGCAAAGGGCTCTTGAGTGCCGGGATCTGCTCTCTCCCGCTCAGCTGAGCTTTTCAACCAGGCAAGTTTCAACCCACCTCGAGGAGGATTAAGGGACAGTCCCACAGCCCAGGCCTGCCTCTGTGAGAATGCCAGCCCCTCCCTGCTCCCCCCCCCGCAATAACTGCCTGCGCAGCGCAGTGCCCAGAGGGGTCCCGTCCCCACAGCGGGCTGATCACCCCTCAGAGCACACCAAGGGCTCGTCCCAGGACCTCGCTAGAGCCATGCCTTTCTGCTTACTTAGGAAAGATTCCTGCAGGGTCTCCCTCCAACCCTTGGTTTTATCCCCGCTTTTCTTCATTTATGCCTCCAGGAGCCTCCCTACATGCAGGCTATCCTTCTCCTGCACCGAGACCCTCAACTGGTGTCCCAACCCCTGCCTGGCTTCACCCCAGTTGCTTATTTTCAGAGAAGAATTTTGCACTGACATGCAAAACGCATGGCTGCCAACACCACTGTCACGACTGAGCCGGAGGGAATGTGCCCATTCGTGTCACCATGTAACGGGTTTTGGCTGCTGCTCCTAAAGCTCCGTGGCTCCCAAAGCTCCCTAATGACGTGGCACCGGCTGAGCAAGCACACAGCACCTCACACCTGGGGGAAGATGGTCAGTGACGGGACACCACGGCTGCCTGGCACTCTGCACCCCACAGCACACATCCAGCTGAGCCATCCTCCCCAACCTGACAGCTCTAAAGCGCTGGGTCACTGGTTCTCTGGAAGGGGGGGACTGGAGGACGTCACCAGCTCTCCCTCTCCTGCTACAGCTTCACTAGGGGACATGGGTGTGAGCCAGGACACACAGGAGCCACAGCTCTGAGACAGAAAGCCTTCATCTTCCCAGCAAGAAGCTGCCCCGAGTGAGAAGCTCATGTGCCGGAGTTCCTGCGAAGCTGGGACTTCAGCTGCTGCTGTGGCACTTCGGCACTCACTTGCCCCCACCCTTCACACACTACCTGAGGTATCAGGTTCTTGTGGATCCTCTTCAGCTTGGCACGCTTCCTCCCGTTCTTGGTAACGATTGTCTCCTCGTAGAACTCGTGGGCGAGATCCCCGTCCTCATCGTAATACATGGAACTGCGGGGAGGCAACCAGGTAAGAGCAGGGCAGGAGGCCGGAGCAGGTCGGCGCCCCCAGCCCCCGGGGGGGGGGGGGGGGGGGGGGGGGGGGGGGGCTGCAGCCACCTCCCGCCACCGCCCCAGCGGCTGCCGGGGGCCGCCCCCTCGTCCCCCCGCAAGGCCGGGGCCTGTGTCCGTCCCCCCCCCGCCACGCCGGTGCTCGTGCAGGCGTCGTGTCATCGTCCCGTCCCCCCACCCCCGGTTGCCATGGCAACAGCCCGCCCTCTACCCCCCCCCCCCCCCGCCTCTCACCCGCGGCGTGTGAAGACGAAGGGGGTGGCGGCGCGCGCGGCCCGCGCCCGGGCCAGGGCCTGCTGCCCGCCGGGGCTCTCGGCGCCGCCGCCGCCCGCCGCCGAGGAGGCGAAGGGCCACAGACCCCGCGACTTGGAGCCGCTGGCGCCCATGGCGGCGGCGGGGGCGGCGGGAACGGGACTGGACGGGGCGGGGGACCGGGGAGGGGGGGGGGGGGGGAGGGGGTGGGGGGGGGAAACGGCCCCGCAGCCGCCGGGCGACACCGACCGAGCGCCGCCCTGCGCGCGCAGCCGCGCTGCGGCGCTTCCGGCGCCCCCCGCACGTGATCCGGGAGGGAGGTGCGCCCGCGTCACGTGAGAGCGGCGCGCGGCGCGCCCTCCTACCCGCCTGGCGCCGGCGGGAACTCTGGAACCGCGGGTTCGAGCCCCGACGCGGCCGGGCACCGCGCGCGGGCACCCGCGGCCCGAAACACCGTGGGGGGATGTGCGTGTGCGCGTCCTCGTGTCCCGCCCACTCCAGCCCACCCCGGCCTCCCCGCCAAGGACACACCGCCAGGCCTCGTCACCAAGATGCCTTTATTGGCGCTCGACGCCCTTCTTCCCCCCAGGGACACTTGCTCCCCCGGGGACACTCGCTCCCCCCCCAAGGGACCCCCACTCCCCGGGCCGGCCCCACGGGGGCTGCTGCGGCCCGATGGCTCCCGGGGTGCCCCATTCCACCCCCCCCTCTTCCCCGGTGCCCCCCACCCGCCGGCAGGCGAGGGTCCCGGCGCGCTGGCTGGCCGTGGGCGCGGGTGGCGGTGGTCACCCCGGCGTGTGCGTGGCCAGCGCCTCCTGCATCTTCTGGCGGCAGCGGGCGTAGCGATGCCGCAGCTGGCGCACGTGCTCCTCCTCCTCCCGCTGCAGGATGCGCAGGAAATTGTGCAGCTCCGGCAGCGTGAAGGCATCCCACTGCGGGCACACGGGCTGCCATCACGACGGGGACGTGGCGTGTTTCCCCCACGGCCACGTCCCCCGGGGGGTGTGGGTGCCAGTCCCCTCCCCGTCCCCACACTCACGTTCACCTCCCCGGTCTCGTTCTCCTTCAGGACGAAGCTGAGCACCTTCTCGCTGGGGCCGGCCAGCAGCCGCAGCCGCAGGGGCTGCTCCTCGTCCGACAGCTTCCGCAGGTACACTGCAACGGCAGCCACGCGTCACGGGGGGGGGACACCACCATGAGGATGTCACCGCCATGGGGACACTGCCACTATGGGGGCGCCACTGCCATGGGAGACACTGCTGCTACAGGGATGCTGCTATCATGGGGGATGCTGCCACTATGGGGACACCACTACCACGGGGGACACTGCCACCAAAGCAGGATACCACTGCCGCAGGGGTGCTGCCACTATGGGGACATCACCATGGGGTACACTGCTGCCATGGGGGACAGCCCCACAGCCGCTGGGGACACTGTCACCAAGGAGGATACCACTGCCACAGGGTGCTGCTGCTGTGGGGACACCACTGCCACAGGGGACACTGCTGCCACAGGGGACACTGGCGCCATGGGGACAGCACTGCCACAGGGATGCTGCCACCATGGGGACATCACCATGGGGTACACTGCTGCCATGGGGGGACAGCCCCACAGCCACTGGGGACACTGTCACCAAGAAGGATACCACTACCACAGGGTGCTGCTGCTGTGGGGACACCACTGCCACAGGGGACAGTGGTGCTATGGGGATGCTGTCACTGTGGGGATACCACTGCCACAGGGGACTCTGGCACCACGGGGACACCACTGCCACAGGGGACAGTGCTGCTATGGGGATGCTGCCACAGGGGACACCACTGCCACAGGGATGTTGCCGCCATGGGGAGACCACCACCCTGGGGACATCGCCACCACGGGGCTGCTGCCGCTCAGGGGAACCTGCCACCACGGGGACACGGCCACCGCTACGGGGACAGGGCCACTCCGGGGCCCTACCTTGCTCATCCTTCTCCGACCTCTCGAAGAGGGCGAACTTGCGGGGGTTGTCGACGACGGTGAACTTGCGGAGGAGGGCATCGATGACCTCGCTGGCGCGGGTGTGCGAGAGGATGTGCAGGTGCTTGACGGTCCCCTTGGGCAGGTAGAAGGATGTGCGGCGCTTCACCCCCTGGGCGCGCGGCCCCGGCCGCCCCGCCTGCAGGGAGGGGACCCGCTTGGTGGCCGGCACTGAGACAGGGCGCACCAGCTTCAGCTGCACCTTGATGAAGCCGGTGTAGGAGCCGTCCTTGTTCTGGGAGACACCGATGCGGCGGGGTGAGCGGGGCCAGGGCAGGGCACCGTGACCCCCCTGCCCCGGCCCTGCGCCGGCCCCGTACCAGGCTCATGAAGAGGTTGCTGTTGATCTGGCTGTTGTACTCCTTGATCTGCTGCTCCACCTGCGCCTGGTCCAGCTCTGCTTTCTCCCACTCGCTGGGCTCATCCTGCACGACAGCGGATGGGCTGAGTAGCACCGCAGCCTGGAGCGACCCGTCCGCCCGCCCGGGGGGCCCGCCACCCCCCCAGCCCGCCCCGAAACACCGGCTGACACACACATGCAGGCGGTTGCGCGGGGTTGCATCAGCCCAGCTGGCGCTGAGCTGGGCCGTACTGGGGAAGTGTGGCTGAGCTCACCACGGCCCCAACCCTGCTCCGGGGACGCTGGGACCGGTCACACCACACCCCCCCTCCCCTCAGCCCTCATTGCTGGGGCTGCAGGGATGGGTGAACCCACGAGGACACCCCAGGGCCGGGCATCTCCTCCCGGCACCCCAGATCAGAGAGGTGTCCCCAAGGCAGAGCGCAGGCAGCCGCCAGCCCGGCACCGGGGCGACGGGGCAGGCTGGGCGCCTGGGGGGACACCCCGGGATTTGGGGTGGGGAGGGCCAGGCTGGGGGTGCAGCCCGCCCGTGCTGCCGGCACCCCACTTCAAAGGGCCAGCCCCACACAGGGGGGGGACCCAGGTGTCCTGGCTCGGCGTCCCTGCCGCCAGCAACCGCTAATGAGTATTTACATGGGGCTGTGGAGCTGCTGCGCAGAGCTGCACATGTCCCCATGGCACCGTGGGGCTGGGGAGCAGCCAGGGCTCCCGGCCCCGACGGCCACCCCATGGCACGCAGGCACCGCCAGACCCTGCTGGAGTCCCCGTGGGGTGGGGACAGCTGTGAGGCTGCCCCAGGGGGCTCACCCCAGCACCCCCAAGCACTGTCCTGAGGCCCCTCCAGGAGCAGCTCCAGCCCCCGGGGGCCATGGGGTGGCTGTGCCAGGCAGCAAAGCCCCACTTACCCCACTGTGCCTCACCCACCCCACAGTGCCACATCCAAACAGACCGGGCCACCCTGCCCCACGGCATGGCCACGCTTGCCCCCACATTTGTCCCATAACAAGGCTATGCTCAGCCCCACGCTCGCCCCACAGCAGGGCCATGCTCAGCCCCACAGCAGGGCCGTGCTCAAGTCCTAGACAGGACCGCCCGCACCCCACGTCTTCCCCATGGCGGGGCGACAACCGGCCCCGCACGAAGCCCACCCTCGCCTGCCCCCCAGCACCCAGCCCCGGGGAGGAGGATGGTGGGCTCCCCGCGGCTGACGTCACCCCGGCCCCACCGTGACGTCACGGCCAGCGGCCCGGGACCGACCTGGCGGCGGCGCGGGCGGCGGCCGAGGGAGGTGCGGGCGGTGTAGAAGAGCTCGGGCTCGGAGTCGGAGTCCTCCTGGCTGCAGTAGCCGCTGCTCGCCGTGCTGCCCCCCGTGCCCCCCGCGCCGCCCCGCCGCAGCGCCAGCGCCGCCGCCGCCCCGCAGCCCCCGGTCCCGCCGCCCCCCGTCACGGCCACGGGCACGGGCACGGCGGCGGCCACGGCCCGGCCCGCCCGCCCCGCGGCCCCGCGGGCACACGGGCACACCCGGCCCCGCGCCAGCCCGGCCGCCCCCCGGGCTGGGGCCCGGCCCAGCCCGCTCCCCGCCCGGCTCAGCCCGGCCCCGGTCCTTGGCCCGGCTCGGCTCCGCTCGGTCCCTATGGCGGTCCCGGCCCGGCTCTGCCCGGTCCCGCTCCCGGTCTCGGCTCGGCTCCGCTCGGTCCCTATCGCGATCCCTGTCCCGGCTCGGCTCCGCTCGGTCCCTATCGCGATCCCTGTCCCGGCTCGGCTCCGCTCGGTCCCTATCCCGGCTCGGCTCCGCGCGGTCCCTGTCCCGGCTCGGCTCAGCCCGGCGCCTATCGCGGTCCTGCCCCGGTCCCGTCGCGGCCCCGCCCCGCCCGGGCCGTGGGGCTGACGCGGGCCGTGGGCGGCGCGGCGCGGTCCCGCTTCCGGCGGTGATTTCACCCGCGCCCGGCGCCGCCCGCCCGGACCCGCCCGTGCCCCGGCCCGGCTGGGCACGGTGCAGCACGGTTCGGCACAGCCCGGCGTGGCAAAGCACAGCAAAGCCCGGCCCGGCTGGGCACAGCCCGGCTGGGCACAGCCTCACACAGCCCGGCCCAGCACGGCCCGGCATGGCACAGCCTGGTATGGCACAGCAAAGCCCGGCCCAGCACGGCCCGGCATGGCACAGCCTGGTATGGCACAGCAAAGCCCAGCCCAGCAAGGCTCGGCACAGCCCAGCACGGCACAGCAAAGCCCAGCATGAGTGGGCACAGCCCGGCGTGGCACGGCACAGCGTGGGCTGGTGCGGAGCGGCACAGCACAGCCTGGTGTGACCTGACACGGCCCTCGCACAGCACAGCAGCACCTCACCCCCCGCCCGGGGAAGCCCCCAGGTTGGCCACCCCCCCACACCCGTGCCCTCCCTCACAGACCCCGGCCAGCCCCTACCACGTTGGTGTCCTTCTCCAGCGCCTGCTCGGTGCCATCGTCCTCGTCGCCGGCGCCCGGGGGGCCGCTGCAGTCCAGCCGCACCAGGGCCCGGCACCGGTAGTGGCAGGTGAAGCTGCAGTCTGGGAACGGGGACAGGACCAGTGTCACCACAGTGGCCCCGGGCGTCAGGGTCAGCGACCGTGCTGGGGAGGGCACTGGCGGCGCTGGCGTGCGGTGCCAATACCGGTGCCCGGCGCCGGCTGCCTGCCCACGCTGTGCTGGTGCCGGGGGCCCAGGGGACAGCACCCACGTGGGACACGGTGCTGTGCCAAGCTGCTGGCCCGTAGCGCTGTGCCCGTGCTCCCCACTCAGGCCGGCCAGCGTGGGTGTGTGGTATCAGGATGACCAGTACCTGGTGGGGGTGCCCAGTACTGGGATGTCCAGTGCCCAGAGGCCTGGTGCCCGGTGCAGGTGCCCGGTACGGGGATGCCCAGTACTCAGTGAGCGTGGCCACTACCAAGATGCCTGGTGCCCAGTGGGGGTAATCGGTGCTGAGATGCCCGTGCACAGCGTGGGTGCCCGGTGCTGGGACGCTCAGTGCCTGGGGTGGGTGCCTGGTGCTGGGATGCCTGTGCCCAGTGTGGGTGCCTGGTACTGGAATGCGTGGTACCTGCTGGGGGGTGCCCAGTACTGGGACGCCTGCTGCCCAGTGTGTGTGCCCAGTACCGGGATGCCCATGCTCAGTGGGGGTGCCCGGTACCGGGATGCCAGTGCTCAGTGGGGGTGCCCGGTACCGGGATGCCAGTGCTCAGTGGGGGTGCCCGGTACCGGGATGCCCATGCTCAGTGGGGGTGCCCGGTACCGGGATGCCAGTGCTCAGTGGGGGTGCCCGGTACCGGGATGCCCATGCTCAGTGGGGGTGCCCGGTACCGGGATGCCAGTGCTCAGTGGGGGTGCCCGGTACCGGGATGCCCATGCTCAGTGGGGGTGCCCGGTACCAGGATGCCCATGCTCAGTGGGGGTGCCCGGTACCGGGATGCCAGTGCTCAGTGGGGGTGCCCGGTACCGGGATGCCCATGCTCAGTGGGGGTGCCCGGTACCAGGATGCCCATGCTCAGTGGGGGTGCCCGGTACCGGGATGCCAGTGCTCAGTGGGGGTGCCCGGTACCGGGATGCCCATGCTCAGTGGGGGTGCCCGGTACCGGGATGCCAGTGCTCAGTGGGGGTGCCCGGTACCGGGATGCCCGTGCTCAGTGGGGGTGCCCGGTACCGGGATGCTCAGCGCCTGCTGGGGGTGCCGGGATACCCGTGCCCAGTGCTGGGGCACCCGATGCTCAGTGGGGGGTGCCCACTACCAGGATGCCTGGTGGTGGGGTGCCAGGTGCCGGGCTGCCCGGTGCCCAGTGCTTGGGTGCTGGGATGCCCGGTACCGGGGGGGGCTGCCCGGTGCCCGGTGGTGGGGTGCCGGGTGGCGGGAGGCCCCGGGGCGCGGTACTCACGGCGGCACTGGAGGCTCTTCCTGCCGCCGCCCCAGACGAAGTCCCCGCAAAGGTCGCACCAGGTGTGGAGCCCGCGGCGCCGAGGCTCGAAGCGGTGCCCGGCGCCCGGTGCCGCCGTCAGCCGCGGGTCGGGGTGCGCTCCGGGGCCGGGCCGCCGGGCCGGGCTGATGCGCAAAGCGTTGGTCCGTTCCAGGCGGCCCCGGCCCGGCCGCGGCTCCGGCGGCAGCTCCCGCAGCTCGATGAGCTCCATGGCCCGGCGGCCGCGGGCGCTGAGCGGCGGCGGGGCGGGGGCCGGGGGCCGGGGCGGGGACCGGGAGGGGCCGCCCCGTCCGGGCACCGCGGGGGAAACTGAGGCAGGAGCAGGGGAGGGGATGGGGGAGCCGCGCAGCGCCCCGGGGTCCCGACCGCCACCCCCTGTCCCCGCAATCCCGGCGGGGCGGGCTGGAGGCGGGGATGAGGCTCCCGGAGCCGCTGCCAGGGAAAGGGGGGGCCCCCGCCTCCGGCAGCTCCGCTCTTCCCGCCACCTCTCCCTCGCTCCGTGCCTCAGTTTCCCAGAGGGGAAGGGGGTTGGGGGAACCGCTGGTGAGAAGCAGCCAGAGCTCCCCCGGAGAGCCACCACCCTCGCTCTGGCTGCAGCGGCACAGCCCGGGCTCAGAGTTTACTCCTCAGGCTGCTCGGCTGGACGGAGATGGTTTCCTGCTTGCTGTCACATCGCCTGCAGCAGCAGCGCGGGTGCAAAGCCTGTTTTGGGGGGGGTGGGGGGGGGGGGGGTCTCAGGCACCTCCTCAGAAAAGGAGATGCACAGCGGTGCCGGCACCATTAATCTTCCCCAGCCGTGCTCAGATCAAAGCTCCAGCCCTTGTGCAGGGGGTGCCGGCTGGGGATGGGATGCACCCCAGGGCGTAGCAGGCCGCCAGTAAACCCTGCAAGAGAGAGGCTGGTGGGTAGGGGGCCAAGCCCTCACAGCAACTGAGACGGGGGGAATCGTCTTCGTGAGCTGGCAGATGACAAACACAGAAACTCAGCTGCTTTCTCACAGCGAGGTGTTCGCGTTAACCACATCCTCTGCCTCCCCCCGTCGCTCTAACGACGGCAGCCAAAAGATAAGAGGCAGCATGGATGCCTCCTCTCCCCCCTCCCCCTCTTAGCTCCCACACCCCGCTTGCACAGGCCCCGGCCTTTCTGGTAACCACAACCCCAGCGTCTCTTTTTTGGGGTTCTCTGGGATTTCTGTTGTTGCAGAAGGGAAAAACAGACACCCTCACCACCACCACCCCCTGCCCCGGTGCAAGGGAGGGGAGAAAGCAGTTTAACATCTTCATCTAATTAAAAAAAAAAAAAAAAAAGCAGGAGGCCAGCAGCAGTGGGGTGCACAGGGAAGTTTATTGGAGAAGGTAGGAGAGGAGAGGCCGAGCCCAGGCAGCGCTGCCTGGCCCTGGGAGCAGGCAGGAGGGGCCTGTGCCGGCTTCTCCTCTCCCTGGGAGAACCTCTGCCTCGTCAGGCCAGCAGACAGATGCCAGTCACTGCTTCTCTCAGGGGTCGTCCCCATCCCTCGGGGCCCCGGCCAACAGGTTGCAGGCAGCCTTGTGCTTCTGCCAGTGCTGGACCTGGCAGGCCCTGCGGAGGGGAAGGTGGCCGCTCAGGGGCTCTGCTGCGAAGCGGGGTGCCCACAGCTCAAGCAGGGACGCAGCGGGGCCATGTCCAGCCTCGGGAGCGAAGCAGCGACAAGGACGAACCCCAGCCCCACACTCCTCTGGGCACTGCGGGGGAGCTGGCACAGCTGAGCATTAGCCCAACAGGGAGGTGGATGTGGCCCCCCCGGGGCTAAGATGGTTTAAATCCAGACCTTGCCAGATGGTTCGGGACCAGAGATTTAATTTACTGCCACCATCCCAGCTGCCGCATCCCAGCCTGTCACCTCCACCCACAGAGCCACGGGTGCTTTCCTCTCCACTCCTGCCTCACCCAGGGGCAGGGGAGCCAGTGGCACCGTGGGAAACCCAGCCCGGCACTGCTGTTGGTGTGGGCACAGGCACCTCACAGCACCAACACAACACTCACCAGCATCCCCTCGCTGTCAGATTTGGAGAGGTATGTGGCAAGAGGACAGCCAGCGGTGCTGGAACCCCCAGGTTCCCACAGCACCCTCCGGTGAGGGCTATGGTGGTCTGGGGGGAGCAGGGAGCACGTGGGGGGCTGCAGAGGGGCACAGGGGGGCTGCAGGGCTCCCTTACCGCGTGCAGTACCACTCGTTCCGGCAGCGGGAGCACCGCTTGCCCGCTTCCGCACCGCACACCCTGCAGCGGGGCTTGTCGGGGGCCAGAGCCTCCATCATGTCCAGGCTGTAGGTCTGTGCCCACCTGCGGCAGGCGGAGAGGAGGGAGTCAGGCTGCTTCCCGGGGAACTGCCTCTGACAAGGAGTGAGCTGTCCCCACTGCACCCTGCCACCGAGGGGACATCCCCCCCCGACCCCTCCACCCTCCCAGTGCTGAGCTCCAGCCCCTGATAATGGGGATGCTGTCTCCACTGGGTAGCCTGGGTGCACGTGCCGGGGCCTTACCTGCGGGCCTGGAGCTTCAGCTCCTCCTCGGTGGGGCTGAAGACGCGCTTCACCTGGTGCTTGGCAATGGCCTCCCACTTCCCTGTGTTTTTCTTCAGGATGTGGTCCCAGATAATGGGAACCTGTCAGGGGAGGCAGAGCAGGAGGAAGGGGGACATTCGAGGGGGGACAGCCAGCCCCGGGCATGAGGACCCCCAGGAGGGAGAGCGGAGGCAGCACGTGCAGAGGCGAAGGCGCAGGGAGTGAGGGTGTGCTTTTGGGTACACAGAGGGGACGGATCCGCTCGCCAACGAGCGTTCGGGTGAAACAAGGCGAAACCTTTGGAGTCTGCTTGGGAGCCAGAGTTCAGCCCCAAGGCTTGTGCTCCCAAACAGAAAGCCTTGGGATCCCAGAGCCTTGCATGCCGGCAGTGGCGTGAACCTCGTGCTCCGGAGCCGTTTGCCTGAGCAGATTTTTCCACTCGTCACTTCCCTGAAGACGAACACACGGGGAAGGGCTGGCCAGCACGAAAGGGAAAGCTCCTGCCAAGAGCGGCACAAGGAGCTCAGGCTCTGGAGAGGACGATGCTGCTTCAAACAGCGCTGCCTTCTCCAGCGGAGTAAAAATAGCCAGGCCTGGAAGGGGAGGAGGCTGCTCTGGTTGCAGCCGAATGGAAAAAAGGCCTTTTTCAAAGCTTGGCTCAGCGACAGGGAGTGAGTTCACCGCTTTCTGGGCAGAGCGGGGAGCCCATGTGTGTGCTTCCAGCTGCCTCCCCCTGCCCACCCACCGGGCTCAGCCCCAGCCCGTGGCGGAGGCAGGAGCAGGGACCGGCACAAAAGCAGAGCTACGGCGAAAGGCGGCAGCCTGGGCGAGAGCTGGACGAGGTCCCCAGCGTGGCGGCTGCCCGTCCCTGCCCCACCGACACGCTGGCAGTGGAGGCGCGTGGAGCGAATCCATAGCCACCTCCGCCCCGCCACCAGCCCCAGCCCCGGCTCCCGGCACGGGCCGTGCCACCGCCGCAGCCAGCCCCGGCCAGGGCACATCACCCTCCTGCCGGGCCCTGTGGCCAGCCGTGCGGGGGGCAGCGTGCTCCCCCTCCACGCAGCCCAAGCGGCCGCTGCCCGACCTACCCCTCTGCTCTGGGAAGAGGCGTGGGAGCCTCCAGCAGTGGGGAAGAGCCTCTGCTCTCCCAGCTCTTCTCAGCTGCTTCTTTGCAGATCTGCTCCCCCCCTGCCACCCCCCCAGTTTCTCCCCTCAGCTCACAAGAAGGCATTTTTTCTCCAGAGATTACCACTGCACAGATTAAAACCCCCAAAACCTCACACTGTTTGAAGACCCTCAGGGCTCAACTCCCCAGCTCCAGACATCAGCTGGGATCAGTTTGACCCCGGCCTCTATCACCAGACCTTGGTGTCCCTGTATATGCTGTTTACAGCCCTGTGCCAGGGCTCTTGTGCCAGGGCTGTAAAAGGATACTCTTCTCTAGGAAGTCCAGAATTCAGCAGGAAAACACTGATAAATATTAAATAAAGAGTTAATTGTGAAAACAAGCTAGGGGTTGTCTCTACCCCATGCAGCCACCACCGCAGAGACTCAGTGCAATCTGGAGAGCTGTTTATAACCCAGCATTTATGCCTTTAGAGGCGACTGCTTGGCCATTGGAGCAGCAGGACAAGGCTCCCACGCCACCCACGGACAACTTTGCTGGCAATAAGGGTGTAACTTGAAATGGGTGCTTGGCTGCTTTACCAGGGCACCACCTCTCCAGAGCTGAGCTTGGTTTGGGGAAAAGGGGGTAAGGAGCTATCAGGCTTAAAGCAGAGTGGTTGGAGAGGTGGAGGAGGAGCCACCGGATACCTGCTCCAGGATGAGATCCTTTTTGGGGGGAGCTGGCTCCGTCACTGCGAGGTGGCTCAGAAATCTCTGCAACTCCACCAGGTTGGGCAGCTGGTCAACGAGGACATCCGTCAGGAACACACGGAGCTGCCGCCACGGAGGGGAAGAGAAAAGCAAACAGAGAGAGGTCAAGACAAGGCAGCCAGAGCTGGGGAAGCAGTGTGGCGAGAGCAGGGGTCCGTGGGGCACGGGCAGAGTGACTCGCAAGGCGCACTCGCAAACGCAAGTTCTGCTGCTGCTGGCACGGTGACAGACCCCGCTGCTCGCCCACCACTGGCTCCCACGAGCCCACAGTGACGCTGGGGAGAGGCACCCAGTGCTGGCAACGTCCTACTGGGTGCTGCGGGGCCCACGGCCTTCGGGGTGTAGGGTCCTACCTTGAGGAGCTGGCTCTTGTTGAAGCTGTCAAAGTGGTATTTGCGCTGGCATTCGGGGCTGAGCAGGAGGTTGAGGAGGGCAAGCCACACCTGCCCATCGAGTTTGGTCATCTTCACCTGGTCTTCAGGGGGCACCACGTGCCACGCGCCATTCTCAAACTTCTTGAGCTTGCCTGAGGGACAGAAGAATGCACAACTCTGGGGAGACAGTGCTGCCTGAGGGAAGACAGCTCGGAGGTGGGGATCCTGGCTCATGTTCACTGCCTCACTTCACTGCAGGCAAGCCCCTCTGCTTCTGCCTGCCTCAGTTTCCCCACCCCTTTGCTCAGCGTAGCAGCCTACTTGGTTCTGAGACAATATATTAGAGAGCATGAAAAGCATAAAGAACATGTATTAAAACAATAGGGTTGTGGCAGGGCCTGAAAGATCCCCAAGGTATCTTCCTCTGTACTTGGCCAGGAGTGTAGAACTGGTAGAGAGCAGAGGAGCAACAACAGACTGGCCGGACAGGCTTGTTCTGGGGTACCAGCAAGGCCAATACCCGCTCTTCTGGAGTTTCTTCTGCCAGTGAAAGCCAGAAGTAGCATGAATGGAACAGAAGTGACAAATCAAGCTCCCAGAGCTACTGTGCTGCTCTGGGGGATGGAGGAGGATGTAACCCTGCATCTGCACAGCCTGGAAATGCCCTTGCACTCTTGTTTCTTTCCAGTCCCTCCCTCAGGGCCCTGGATCAAAGCTCCCTCTCACAGCCCGAGCGCACAGGCGGAGAGAAGGGATGCGTTTCCTGGCCGGAGGAAGGAGGAAAAGCTCCCACATCCAGCCGGGCTCCTCTCAGGAGGCGCAGAGCCACGTGCTTCCCAGCATCTCTTCCTCCCCTGCCCGTGTTGTGAACCCCCTGGTGCAGGGCTGGGGAGGGGAGCGCGGGTTCCCACACTCCAGGCTGTGCCCCACCACTGCTCAGAGCGGGAAGCTGGGGGGCTGCAGGGGGGCACGCCTGGCCGCAGGGGTGCGGGAGAGGCAGGGCTGATGGCGCAGGCGATGGCCGATGGGCACAGCCTGATCAGAGGCCTTTGGCAAGAGGGAAGCTCAACAACCAGCAGCTTCAGGGGAATCAGTTTGCTGCCTGGGAGAGCCCATGTCTGGCTCTTAGTGCTGTCCCAGAAAGGTGTAGGCAGGCTGAGACCAGCACTCTGGTCTCTCTGTGTCCAGGACAAGGTGGGGCTGGCAGCAGTGCTAAGGTCCCATCCTGGCCATGAGCAGCTCGGAAGAGACACAGCCTTTTGTGAGAACTGGCTTTTGGGAGCACTGCCGGGTTCCCCAGCCCAGCTGTGCTGCTCAAGCTGTACAGCTTCAGGCTGGGAGCACTAATGAGGAGGGAGGGGAGGAGGCTGGAGGGGAGGATAGAGGGGGAGCAGCTTTCTGCAAGGGCTCCTACAGCAGACCTGTCACTGGACGCCGGTCCCAGCGTGCCACCACAGCACCCCAGGTACCACGGGGCACAATCCATACCTGCTTCCCGGCAGCTCCAGGGGCAATGCTCCACCAGCTCGACAAGGAGGCAGGGCAGGTTGTGGGTGTTCAGCATCCGTGTCAGCGCGCTCAGGGGCAGACTGGAGGTAGGAGGGAAAGGGTGAAATGGTGCTTGCAGGCAAATGCCAGCACAGATATAAACGCTCCCGGAGGCAACTGGGAGAGGCAGGAGAAAACACAATGATCAGAGTTTCATGGAGCTGGGTGGAGTGTTGCTGAGTTTGCCTCCCCAGGGCACAGTGCCACTGCTACCACGGATGCAGCCAGCTGCTGAAAGGGGTCCAGGCACCCCCTGTGACCCTGTGGGAATCTCAGCCAAATTGCTCCACGCACGTCCTGTGCTGTTCCTGGGCACCTACCTCTTCACCTGATCGGTGATGAACCGCAGCACAGACAGGGCTTTCATGGAAATCTCAAACTCCATCGTCTCCGCCTGCTTCTGCAGCTCCTGGGGAAGGACAAGCACAGCCTCGGGATTCCAGACCCCATGTCCCAGGAGCTACAGGGAGGCAGGCTGTTGGCTGCGCAGCACTAACCACGGACTGGGGAGGAAACCAGAGCCCTGCAAAACAAACTTGAAGCCCTGCTTCTCATCTCAACTGTGCCAGCATTTGCCAGAGCAGCTGCAGAAGTGCTTGCAAACCACTGCTGCTCACCCCTCACCTCCCCACCCCTAACAGGTCACGGGTGGCTATCTGCAGCAGCGCCCTGGCACAGGGACACCCCTGAAAAAGGCCAGTCCCAGACTGCTCCTCTCTCTCCTCTGGGATCATCTTGTGGCCTACGACCCTGCAGAGACCTGAGAGGTTGAGGGGAGCTGCATGATCAGCAGAAACCGGAGGAGGGGGAAAAACTTGCCTGCTGCAGTCCTACATCCACCCCTCCTGGATCTGCCGCTCCCCTCCAGCTTGCATGCACCCATTGAAAATATCTGTCTGTGGTTATCCCAGCCCGCAGCTACGCCATGCTCTCCAGCCACCCAGCCTCCTTCCCTTCCCAGGCAGCGTGGACACCCCGTTCATCCCCACGTGCTCAGGCTAACAGCCTGACCATCCTCTGACTCAGCCTCTTTTGAGACCGTCGGGATGGCTAGGCTGAGAGGTGCCAAGTCCTATCCCTGGCCCAGGCAGAGCTTCTCCTCTCCAGTCCCAGACGCTCAGCAGCTCACATCTTTGTGTGCAGAGCACTGACCTCAGCAACTTGTATTTCTCTAAAGCGCCACTGCAACAGTTCCCTTCCAAATTCCTGTGGTAAGAAGCCCTGTGCTCCCCATGCCGGTGCCTCACACGCTACTCAGAAAGCCTTAGGGGCTCTTCCCCCCTCACCTCCCTCTCCAAACTCCCCCAGGGAGGCTGTTTCCTACAGCTTCTTCTGGTATCCAGGCCTCATCTCTGCTACCTTCAGACAGGGACTATCCTTTGCCTGTGCTTCTGGGGGACAGCAGAACAGGCCCTGATCCAGGGTTTACCACTATTCACAGTCACAAAGGACAACAAGGCTCCATAACACAGGCGAAGGCAGGAACAGCTTTTTCATAGCGGGTTATTGTATGTAGAGTCAGGAGGGGCTGGAATGAATCAGAGGAAATCAGGCTCCTTGGGAGATGAGTGCTTTTTAGAACCCTATTGGCTAGAAAAGGTTGGGTTTTTAACTTGAGCCATGTCAAAGCACTAACAGAGACAACCCCCTTCCCCTCCCCAGCTGGGAAAACATTTCCTGGAAAACATCCCTATTGTGCTCCGAAGCCCTCCACTTCCTTCCCTTTCTGGAAGAGAAGCATGTGCTCAGGCAACAAGCCAAAGGATGGAGACAGCGTGGGGAGATACTGCCAAACTTGCAGGCTATTGCTTTAGCCCTGCTTCTCCAGACACTCCTTGTGATGTGTGCAATTTAAGGAGAAAATTCAAGGTGCTGAGAAACACCAGAAGCAAAGAGAGCCTCTGCACTGGGAAGGTGTGTGTGGCAACCTGGGAACACTTGACTGGGAACAGCTCTGGGCTCGCTGCTGGCCCAGACCAGCACAAAGAGGAGGCATTTCTCAGAGAGCTGAGGAAGTTGAGGGGAAACACGTTAGGACAATTTCTAGGTGTATTACACTCTGATTTAGGAAAGGATCCCTCTCATGGTTAACCTTGGCTGGTTCCAGTGGCAGCCTGAGCTAAGGCAGTTTCACAAGCTCCAGGGAGACAAGCTCCAAGACACAGCTTTCAGGAGCAACAGCAAATGGCCAGAAGCTCTGTACTGAATATTTTGTCTGTCAGTTCTCCAGCATCCCTCCCTCAGAGCTCAGATCATGTTCTGCGCTGCGAGAAGCCTCAAGATGGCACTGTCAGGAGAGCACAGCAGCGCAGCTGCAGGGTGTGGGGAGGTGGGTGCAGCTGCTGGCCCAGCAGAGCTGCTGGCGCAGACGAGCTCCAGCACCAGGTGCCCTCTGAGATGGGCAGGAGGTGCTGGGGTTGCAGCCAAGGGGTTCCCCATGGGAAGGTCCCTCTGTGCCTCTTCAGGCTGCCCACATCCTCCGTGACACATGTCCCCAGTGAGCTACAGGACTTTCTCCTCACTTGCATGGACGAAGGGCTGGCCAGATCCTCAGGACGAAGCTCCACCGGGGCCACTCTCTGTCCGTTGGCGCTCCGAGCGGCAAGCAGGGTCAGTTTTCGGTGGCAATAATCAATCAAATCCAGAATGCTGTCCTCTGCGGAGTCGCAGATCTCCTTCACAATGACAAGAGTTTCACAGAGGGCTGACCTCCACAGCCATGGCTTTCCACCCACAGGAGCTTTACACTGAAGGAAGCTGAACCTGCCTCTTACCTTGTAAAAAAACACCGTCTCCAGGAGGTTAATGATGGAGGCTTCGTGATGCAGCTGTGGGAGGAAAACGGCAAGAGTGAGGTAACGGTGGAGTAGTCATCAGCATCAAGGATACAGTCAATGGGACTGGGAGAAGGACTCTTCTGAGAAGCTGCTTATGCAGTTGTGGCCAAACGCAAGTGCAAGAGCCAAATACAAGTGACGCAATCTTTAAAACAACTCTATTTCATGCAGTTCACATTAATATTTATGATAATATGCCTATGACACTATAACACACTGACAGAGAACCACGCTCCCCAGCACGGCTCTTCAGGGCTCTGTAGCTGCACTACAGCAGCAGTACAGTCGTAGCCCTCAGGCAAGCTGCAGCCCCTGGCACCGGCACAGAGCCTCTGCCCGAGGCAGGACAGTGCTCTGCATGGCTGCGCTGCTCTCAGCCCCCTGGGAGCAGGGCAGACAGCCTTGTCCCAAGCCTGGGAACCAGGAGGTAACTGCCTTGATACAACACTGCAAACAGCTGCCCAGGGAAGACGCCACCTCACCCCAGCAAGATCTTACCCTGGAGTGAAAACGGGCAAGAACATCTAAGCCTCGGGCAAATTTCCCTTAGGTCAAGGGCTGCATTCTTCACTTGCCAAGAACAGTCCAAGGGATCACCGCTCCCAGGAACTCAGTAAGAAAAGCTACATTTTCCTTAATCTAGAGGCACATAACCTTGGATGGGCCTCTGCTTAGAGGTGCCGGAGGAAAACAGTGCTCAGTGGGGGGGCAAATATCCCAGGGGCATTGCTTCCTGGGAGCAAGAGTAGCACCGCACCACTGAGAGCAGCAAGCCAGCACGGCCGTCTCCAGGAGCGGCTTCTACTGCATCCAGCAGCTCCTGCAAGCCCCTGTCCACAGAGCTGAGCTCCCCTGGGAGCTGGTCCCTGTCCCTCCTGGTGGCAAGGACACAGGTTTGTTGCTCGCAGCTTTGGGAAACCAGGTGCTTCCCACACTGTGTCACGCCACCCACCACAGCTTCTCAGCCTGGTGAGATGTAAAACCCCAGCTCTGAGATCTTCAGGGTGAGGTCTATTTTTAAGCATAGTGGTGCCCACCAAGCTTCCAGGCTCGTTCCCACTGCCCCCTCTACTCACCACCATATAGATGGGGAAGGTGCTTCTTGGCTTGAAGTCCTCCAGTCGGCACAGCACAGGAAAGATCTTGTGCTTCCAGATCTCCACAGAGATCAGCTCCCCAATGAGAACAGGAATCTAGACAGGAAGGGATGGGGGAAGTGAAGCCTTTCAGGGGGAACCAGTTTTATTGCTAATTCTCAGCCACACAGACTTTGGAATCAACCCATGGAGGAGGGCAGCCTTGGGACACACTGTCTTTATATTCACCCAGCTCAAAATTCAACAGCTTTTCACTGACAGACTAGTGGGCAGAGATAGCTCCTGGGGTTGCAAAGGGGGAAGATGACCCCAAGGAGCTGGGCAGGTCCAGGGCACCACACATTTCGGTACAGCCCAGCACATTTTGGGGCTGTGACACCACAGGTATAGGGCAGAGATCCACAACCAGAAGGGCCAGTGCACAGAAGAGACCAAAACAACCTCGAAGAAACGAACCAGACACCAGCAAGTAGAAATACCACAGCTTGACCTTTAATTTTTTTTTAAAAAGCAAAACTGGCAAGCCACCAGTCAAACGTCTTTACCAGAGATACAAGAGAATCTTCACCATTTTATTCCAAAATTGCACACTGTCCACAAGACAACCCCAGCTCACGGCTAAATGCCTGGTGTGGGGATCCCTACCGCACCCAAGGAGGCTCACCTTGGCGTAAGTGACCAGCAGCTCGGTGAGGAGCTGCTCCTGGCCCGTGGAGGCACTCAGGATGGCATGCATGTTGAGCTTCTCCACGCACTCGTGCTGTCGAAGCCATCTGCAGGCAGCCAGCAAGGCCATCAGCACCGCACACCTCTGGCCACTGGCTCTGGGGCTCCGCTGCGCTCCAGGAGAGGGTCTCTCACGCAGGGAAACCTGCCACCGGCACCCCCATCCCCAGGAAATGCCCCAAGCCTGTCAGACACCCCCAAACACCATGCCGAGCCTGTGCTCCCGGGGCAGCAGCCCAAATTGCTCTCCTGGCTGCCCCCAGCAACACCCACCAGGAGATGCCCCAAAACTGGGGGTCCTACTCTTCACTCACCCCTACTCACATAGACCCTCTGGGGACACCCCGGATCTGGGACCCCTTCCTCATCCCCTCTCCCCCCAGACCCCCCCTTTTCCTCCCAGTCCTTCCAGGAAGGCTCCAGAATGGGGACCCCTCCTCTCCCCCAACCCCCCCCAGCGACTCTCTGGGGTCACCTCAAAACCAGGGCCCCTCCTCTCTACCCCAGCCTTCTGTGAACCCCTCCTTGTCCCCAACCCAGACCCTCTGCGGCGGCCCCTCCCCCCACAGGGGTCACCCCAAATTTAGAGCCCCTTCTCGGTGCTCCCCAGTACCCGGCCTCTCCCAGTACCCGGCCTCCCCCAGTACCCGGCCCCCCCCCCAACAAAGCCGTCCCCCCGCACCCCTTCCCGCCGGCGTCCCGCAGCTCGGTGCCCTGCAGCGCCCGCACCAGCGCCTCGGCCTCGGCGGGCAGCAGCGGGGCCGGCCCGGCGGCGGCCATGGCGGCGTCGGCGTCGCTATGGCAACGGGATGGGGGGGGGCGCGGCGGTTGACAGCGTCTCTGCCGCCCCCTGCCGGCGCGGAGGAGCCACTGCGGACCACCGGTAGTGCGGCGAAGCCTCTGCCGCCCCCTGGAGGAGCGGAGGAGCGACGGCGGCCGGCGGGGAGCACCGGGCTCCGCGGACACACACGGGGTAACGCGTGGAGGCGGGGACGGGACACGCGGGCCTTGGCTGTCATCCCCGCCCTCACTTCCAGCACACGATGATGTTGGGGTCGTTCTCCAGGCGCTCATCCAGCTCCTTGTAACTCATGCCTTGGTGGGGAGCAGGCGGAATGCAGTGGGATGTTAGTGGGGTGCCCAGCAACAGTGTCAGGGGGGCTGGCTGGGGACCCCAACTCCCTCCCAGCAGCCCAGCTTGGTGCAGAACCTAGCCCAGGCTCGCGTCTCTGCGCTCTGAAGGGTCCCAAAGGGGCGAGAGAGACCCCAAAAGCAGTGCATGGCCCTGGCCACGCGGGCAGCCCCCTGCCTCCCACCGGCCCCGAGACCTGCATGGAGGAGCCTGGATCCTCACCGGTCTTACAGCAGATCTCATCATAGCTGTGGCAGCCTGTGTACAGCCGGGCTGGGTGGCTCCGCTCGTCCCGGGCGACCTTGACGGGGTATTTCTGGAGCCGCCGGATAAGGCCCTTCATCAAACCAAACTGGATAAGCCTCCTGGGGACGAGGAGAGAAGACACTGGGACCACAATGCTGAGGTGTCAAACCCCCCAGCTCCCCCCATTGCCTTCTGGCTCCATCATGCCACTCCACCGCCTCCTGTTCCCCCACCAGTCCCCACTCAAGGGGCGGGTAGTCCCTCCTTGCTCCCCCACACTCGCCCTGCCACCCCTGGTGTCACTGCTCCGCTTGGGGACCGAGCAGGAGGGTGCTGGCTCCAACCTCTCGTCCACCCTCTGGAGCTGCAGGGTGTAGCGGGAGATGAGGTCTCGCACTGTTGTGCCAGGGCTCAGCCCGCAGTACAGCTGGAAGACGTCCCTGAGGCTGGCTCGCTTGTGCCCTGTGGGGACAAGTCATCAGTCAGCTGCCCTCTCCCCCTGCCTCCACCAGCAGCCCTGCGCGGGGTCACCGTACCCTGTTTGGTGATGTAGGACAGGCACTCTTCCTGGAGACACTTGTCATCCACCAAGTCCTGGACCTTTGGTGTGGTGCAGTAGACGTTGGAGTACTGGAAGGCAAGAGAAAACCAGTTCTGCTCAGCCACAGCTCTGACAGACAGAACCACCCCGCTCTGAATCCCGTTGTCCCCCCTGGACAGCCACCCCGATGGCACAGCTGCTGCCCAAATCCCACTCATGGCCCCACGCTCCGTGGCCTGACCCACCTGGAGTATGGAGACGAGCGTGACGACCCCATAGTACCTGCAGATGGAGAAGGAAACGTGAGACACCCTCTCTGCCAGCACCCACCACCACCCCTCCTGCGGGCCAGCCAGGCCCCCTCCACGCACTCACAGCAGGTTTTGCACAGCAATGCGCACCAAGTTCAGCTCCACGTCGGCTTCTGCGGAAATCTTCTGGACGTGCCGAAAGCCGTCGATATACGGCAGGATCTGGGAGGGGAGGAAGCAAGAGCTGAGAGAGAAGAGAGACTCAAGGCATCACCCTGAAGCCCAAGAAACAACCCCTGCGTCTGGGAGAACGCCGGGGCAGGTGGGCTCCATCCCCAGCAGCATTTTATCCTCGTGTTGGGAGAACGGGATAGTCCCAGGCCTGAGCACAAAGACAAGGGGAGCACCAAACCACACTCATTAGCGTGGTGATATCTGGGACAGCCCAACTCCCCTCTGCCCCCGGGCAGGCTGCAAACAGACCCTGTTCAAAGCGTGCTGCCCCCAATCAAGCACACGGACCTGCTGCGTGGTGAGATCCCACTGGGAGTTGAAGAAGTCGTCTTTGTCTTGGGTGAAGACGGGGACATCGTACTCCTGCACGATGGGGGGGTCTGGGCGCTGTTCGATCACCTTCAGGTGGATGGTGTTCGACTCATCTGGCCGGGGAAAGGGGAGAGCTCAGCCCCCACAGAAACCTCTGCTCCCTTGGGAGCTTGCGACTGTCAGTCCCGGGACACTGCCACACCGCATGGAGGGAGGTGTTTGCAGCACATGGCCCCGTCCCTCCTGGCCCTTCGAGCCATGCAGGGCAAGGCTGGCTCGGGTGATGCCAGCTCCAAGCGCAGAGGACAGGGAGCTGCCAGGAGCAGCGTAGGCAGCGCTGACCCAGGCAGGGGACAGCCCAGCTGCCTCCCAGCACCCTCGCTGCGAGGCCGGCGCAGCTGCCATACCTATGGGCAGGGTGCACTTGCCCTTGGCGTTCAGCTCCTCCAGCAGGATGGTCATGATGGGAACCAGCTTCTGTTTACTCTCCTCATTGGAGATGAAGCCGCTTTCCAGCTAAAGAGAGAGGAAAATCGAGTCAGCTCCTCCCCACAGGATTACCGGCCATAGGAACCGCACCTCTGGGTTCCTGCCCTCCTTTCAAGCGATGTGTGGGTAAAACCAGCACGATCCCCTCCTCGCTGTAAACCTGGCCCCCACCCCAGCAACGCCCAGTGACCCTGGTGATGCTGTGGGGTGGATCGCTAGGCAGCCAGCCCCCGCTCGGGCCTCACCTCGAGGGTGGTGAGGTAGCCGGCCAGCTTCTTCACTATGGGCTCCAGCGCACAGGCCTTGGCTCTGGCATCGCACACGAAGCCCAGGTTGAAGAGCAGAGCGTTTCGGCTGTACTTTTTGTGCTCGATACACACGGGGCAGCCGATCAGCTTCTTCTCCATGGCCGTCCTGCGGGAAGAGAAGGTATAACCTGCACCTACGGCCTCAGGGAGGCCTGAGCCACGCACAAGGCTGGTTCCTGGTCGGTTCTGGAGTTGGGGGCTTCTCTGCTTTGCAGTGAAAACGATGTCTAATCCCCAAATGCTCAGAGTGCAAAACACACAGTCTGAAGAAGGGGGAAGGGAAAAAAAAAATAGGCAACCACGAGAGAAGAAGACAGTTTCCTTTCAAAACCAGCACAGCTCTCTCCAGACTCGTCTGATTTTCTTGGATTTGAGGCTGACAGAGAACCACACGAGGCACCAGCCACCCCCAAACTGAGGTACCGAACCCCTCCCACGGCCTTCCGACCTTCCTAGTCGTGGCGAGAACAACGGATCCCCCCCACTCCCACCCGCGGGGAAACACTCACACGGTGATCAGCTTGTTCTGCAGCTCGGGCTTCGTGATGACATACACCTGGATGGTGTCAAACAGCTCCCGAGAGATGAAGTCCTCCGGGACCTGCAGCGGCACGGAAAGCTGCGCTCCAGCCTCACCCGGCTGCCGAGCCCCGGACCCCGCCGTTCTCCGCTCTGGCCGCCCCCAGCCCCCTCAGCTGGCTCGGGGGTCGCGCCCCCCCCCCATCCCCACGCACCTGGTAGGTGATCTTGGGCCCCAGCGTGGGGTGGAACTCGCTGAAGAAGACGCACTCGATCCTCCCGCCCATGGCGGCCCCGGGGCGGCGGGGACGGGGACGGGGACGGGGACGGGGACGGGGACGGGGACGGGGACGGGGGCGGTGCCCCCCCCCCCCCCAAACGTCACACAACCGCGCCGATGGAGGCGGGCTTTCATCCTGAGCGACAGCGCCGCGCACCCATTCAGCGGCGGCGCGGCGCGGAGGAGGCGGGCCCTAGCGCGGACGGGCAGCCCGCCTCGCCCAATGAGAGAGGGGGGGGGGGCCGCGCCGCGCCCGTCTCCGCGGCGGTGGCGGCCGTTCCCCGCCTCCCCGGCCGCCATGGCCCTGACGGCCGAGACCGAGTCGCGGCTGTACCGCTCCCTGCGCGCCGCCGCCGGCGCCGCCGCTCACCTCGTGGCGCTGGGCTTCCCCACCGCCGTGGCCGTGCTGGCGCGGCCCGGATCCAGTGAGTGCCGGGCCGGGGGGCGGGGGGGGGGCCGGGGCTCTCCTCCGCTCCGCTCACCCCCTTCCTTCCATTGCAGGCCTCTTCTCCTGGCACCCGCTGCTCATGGCCCTCGCGGTAAGTCCCGCCGCCCCCCCGGGCTGCCCTCGCTGCCTCGGGGAGAGGAAAGGGCCCCTCCGCTTCCCCTGGGGGGGGGGGGTGGGAGATGCGGACCCGCTGCCGTGTCGGAGGGGGCGGCCGGTGCCAAATCCGTCCTTCCCGCCCCCCCCCCCCCCCCGCTTTCCCCTCTGCCCCCCAGTTCTCGTTCCTGATGACAGAAGCCCTGCTGATATTCTCCCCGGAGACCTCGCTGCTCCGCTCCTTCTCCCGCAAAGTCAAAGTGCGGGCGCACTGGGCCCTCCAGCTGCTCGCCCTCCTCTGCGCCCTCCTGGGGCTGGGCATCATCGCCTACAACAAGCACCTGAACGGCAAGGCGCACTTCGTGACCTGGCACGGCCTGACGGGGCTGCTGACCGTGCTGTACGCCGGCGGGCAGTGCGCGGGGGGGCTGCTGCTGCTCTACCCCAAGCTGATGAAGAACTGGACGCTGGCCAAGCTCAAGCTGTACCATGCGACCTCGGGGCTGGTGGGCTACCTGCTGGGCTGTGCCAGCCTGATGCTGGGCATGTGCTCGCTGTGGTTCACCGCCTCGGTGACCAGCGCCTCCTGGTACCTCGCCATGCTGTGTCCCCTTCTCACCAGCCTGGTTATCATGAACCAGGTGAGCAACGCTTACCTGTACCGCAAGCGGAGCCAGCACTGAGAGCCTGGTGCAGATCTGAACTTCCCCTGCGTGAGCCAGTTGAGGCCAGGGCTCCCCAGGGGTCCCCTGCTCACACGGGGTCTCCCTGGAACTCGATTTCTACCTAGTCGTCTCTCATTAGTCCTGGATTGTCTGTAGTGTCTTGTCCCTGGGGAGCAGCTGTGATGCGTGTGACACCGAGCTGGCGGGAGCCACCCACCTCGTGCCTGCCTTGGTGGGGACGTTTCCCAGCACAGGTAAAGCTGCTGGTCCCCAGGGCAGCTTGGTGCTCAGCGCTGGGGACTGGGCGGGGTTCACTCAGGATTCCTGCTCCTTCTCTCTCCCCTTGCCACCCAGGGCTGCTTTGGAGCAGGCAGGACAGGAGCCATGGCGTTCCTGGTGAGGAGGGCGGGGAGTCCCCCCCTCTGCTGCCATTAAGGCAGCTTGGCCAGTAAAGGTACAGAGCACAGCTGGGGCTTCAGCCATAGTAGGCTGAGCAGGGTGGCAGCACCCACGGCAGACACAGTGGGACAGCAGCACATCTATCCCCATGACACGGCCCCACGCAGGGACCAGGGGGCCTCCCCAGGACTGGTGCAGTCAGCCCTGCTCGACAGCCAGGGATCTGGGCGCCCACTGCCACGCACAAACCCTTCCCGCAGGCTGGGACAGCAAAGCTTCAGCCTGGCAGGAGGCGGGGGGGGGGTCATTTTACAGAGCAAATTACCGAGCTGGGCTGCAAATGGGTGGCCCCTCGGAGGGTCACAGGGAACAGCGCGAGCGCAGGGGGCAGCAGGGCTTGGCCCAGGCCCTGGGCGACGAGGCCTTGAGCGGGCAGAAAGACACCTCCTCTCCTCGCCAGCACAACGGCCTGCCGTCCAGCCTGCCCGCCCTCAGGGTGCTGCGAGGCTCCCTCTGCCGCAGTGGCCCCCCAGCTCCTCAGCACGTATCCTGCTCTCAGCAGGGCTGGGAAATTCCTCTGTATCCAGAGCTTTTATTCAATAAAGATTTCAGGCAGCTACAGTGCAACAAACCCTTTTTACTACCCGAGAGGGCTTTTTGGGGTGTAAGGCAGACATTCACCCCCCCTGCAGATTTCCCACCTCCTGCTTGCAAAGGGTCTCTCCCTTCCTGGGTGCACCCAGGAAGAAGCCACCCCCCCACCTCCAGGCTCCTGTACAAGAGCCCCCGGGGGCTGCTCTGTGCCCAGTGCCCACCCCACACTCTGCTGCAGGAGCCAACTCTTTCAAAGAACTCTTTATTGATACCGAAATGTCTGTGTTTTTCCCAGTTGACAAAACCTTCTCTTGTGGTCCTTTAAAAAAATAATCACAACATCATCGACCCATGTCCCGGGCTAGGGACTGCCCAGGGGATCAGGAGCTGCGAGGAAGCTGTCACAGGGAGCATCCTCTCAGTCCAGAAAAACAAAAAAGCCCATCAACACAGAGGGAGGGAAAGAGAAGGGGGAGCCCATGTTCTACCTGCAGGAAAGAAAACCTGCTGCTGGAGGAAGCAGAGAGAGCCCCACCATAAAAATTAATTCCAGCTTCTAGTGTAATCTGACAAACGGATTAGCCAGGGAGTAGCTGAGGGCACCGGCTCCTTGCAGGGCTGGCGGTGGGGGTGGGAGAGGGAGGAGGAGAGAACCCCTCACACACAAAGCCCAGAGCTGGTGGTGCTGGACCACCACCATGGGGGGCTGGGTGGCCCCCTCCTGCCCAGCAGCCCATCCCCCTGCCTGGTAAACCTCTCACTGGTCACAGCGAGCTCCTGCCAGGCCAGGGGGAGGCTCCCCACGGGAAAGGGACTTGGAAAAGAAACCTGCTAGCCTTCCCATTCCCTCGGTTAGGGACAAAACTACCTTCAGAACAGAGGAAGTAAGTGTTGAGTGCTCTGGCCAACCCCCAGAGCAGAGAAGCGAGGAAGCGCTGCTGACTTTGCTCCCATGTGGGCAAGCACAGTGGCATCGGGGCAGGGATCAGCCCCACGTCCCCCTCCCGGGAGAGCCCCCGCTGCCGGTGCCGATGTCCACGGCCTGCCCTGTGCCGCGGGGAGCGGCTCGAGGAACCCCCATCCTTGCGGTGACGGCAGCAGCGGTGCCCTGGCTGCCTGGTGCTGGCCACGAGCGGCAACGAAGCATTGGAATGAGGTAGCCCCCTTGCCTCTGCCGCGGGAGGAGTCCCCGCTCCCCGCTGAGCGTCCCGGCTGCCAGGGGGGAACACGAGGCGGGGGTTAGCAGCTCTCCGATGGAGATGGGGCGGGGAAGGGGGGCGGCGTGCCGGCCGGTCACAGCTGGGATGGGGCGTCCTGGAAGGTGATGAGGCTGGACTCCTGAGCCGCAGCCTTCCCGGCCGCACCGGGGTCAGGCAGCAGCAGGCTGTCGGCCTTCACCGCCGCCTCCTCCTCGTCATCCTCCATGCTAGGCCAGGCTGACTGGTCCTCCACACGCTTCAGCCGCTCGTTCAGGGCCTTCAGGGCCAGCTGCCTGCAGGGCAAGGGCAGACAGGAGGGTTAACAGCTCTGTCCCGCAGGGTGCAGGGCAAGCCTGTCCCTGGCTTCTTCCCAGCAGGAGAGGGTGGATTTGGCAGCACTGGAGATGACCCAGAGTGCCTGAGACTGCCCCACTGACACCTACTCATGCTCCCAGACCACATACGCAGAGTTTTTGTGCCACGTGGTGCACTCAGAAGTTGTCAGATGGCACGTGGGCTGCGCCGGGAACGGGGGAAGAAAGGTGTAAAACAGGGCAGGGGAAAGTGGGGGCACTGACACCTCGTCCAAACCTTCCCACTGGGAGTCGAGAAGGCCAACGCCAGGCGTGCGAGAGGGCCAGGGTGCGGGGCTGACTCACTGCCTTCCCCCACGCCAGGATGACAGGTGCAGGGCTGCCACAAGCAAGGGGCTGGCATCTCCCCAGGCAGCCACTGGCCCCCTTCCTCCTGCAGGGACCCCGAACCCTGCCTGCCCCTTCCCCAGGATCTCCCCACTCCTCCCCTGCTGCTCCGTGTTTGGAAGAGCAGGACAATGTCCCACCAGCTCCCTGTAATGTCCCCCACCACCTCCGTGGCAGGGAGGGCAGCCCCCCTGAAGAACCAAATCTCCCCAACTCCTCCTCGTTTGGATTTTAAACCCAGCCCTTGCTGCCCGTAAACACGATCCCCACGGGAGCAGAGCAAGCGGTACCTTCGCCTCTCGGCGTCCTGGGGGTCTGTCCCCGGCAGGCTGATGGTGATGGACGATGGGGCGCCCACGTCGTAGCGCTTGACTGTCTTGCGGCAGACCTTCACCTTTACCAGGATGCTGTGCACCAGGTTGGCCACCAGACCCACCACGGGCTGCAGGATCTCGGGGAAGAAAGTGGCAAAGGCGAAGTGGTCAGACATGTCTCCACGGCCTCTACTGTGCCGCTGGTAGAAACGGAGATAGACCCAGCTGGCAAGGAGCCCGAAGCCGTATGAGGCCAGTACATTGCTCTCGACGAGGGTAGCGAGCCGCAGCAGCGCCAGGAGAAGGAGCAGGAGCATGGGGACAGCCTTCATTCTGACTTGGGGCACCTTCAGGACGGTGCTGTCCCCCATCGTCTGCTTGAGGGCCACCAAGACCCCTCCGAGGAAGCCCAGCCCGCCGTGGATACGGACAGCGAACAGGTAGGCGAGGTGGAAGGAGGCCACGTAGGTGAGGAAGTAGGCGAGGGCCCCCAGGAGCCCCACCGAGACGTTCACCACGGCGAAGAAGACCAGCAGCTCCAGCGCTCCCCAGAGGGGCTCCAGCAGCCGGCCGGCCACCCCCAGCGTGGCCAGGCTGGCCGCCAGGCCCCAGGCCCGCTCCTCCACCAGCCCGTGCGTCAGCAGCGTCCAGACCCAGAAGTTGGGGGGCAGGAGGTAGCCGGGGGTCACCCCCAGGCCGTAAGCCGTGTCCAGGCCGAAGGACAGCAGGTAAAGCAGGAGGATGGCGGCGCTCAGCGACTTCACCACCACGCTGGTGCCGGCCAGCGCCGCCAGGAAGTGCTGCCGGGCCACCGGCAGGTACCGCCGCATCTTCGGGCCCCACCGGCGGGACGGGGCTGCCCCGCGGGGGCTACAGCGCCCGGCTCCCCCCCGCCGGGGCCGCCTGCCCCCCGCCCGGCCCCCGAGCAGGCCCCGGCCCCTCCCGCCGCCGCCGCAGGCCAGGCCAGGCCGGGCGCGGACAAACAGCGACTGTGCGCATGCGCGGGGCGGGGCGGGGCTGGCGCCGCGGGGGCGGGGCCGGGCGCCCGCCGCGAGGCACGCTGGGACACGTAGTCCGGCGGCGAGGGGGGAGTTACGGTGGGGGACACGCACACAGACACGGGGGGGACGTGGCGGGGACGCACAGGGGAGGGGTGGGGGAACACAGTTATGGGGGCGTGAGGGGGACAATCATGGGGACGTGGGCACGGTGGGCGCAATCCCTGGGGGAGGTGGGGGAACGGGAAACGGCACGGGCGGGCTGGGCACGCGTGGGGAGGGACACGTGCCCCACCGGGCAGGAGAGCGTGGATGTGGTGACAAGAGGACACAGGCATGGAGTTGGGGGGGGGGGTGCGGCACGAGGATGTGAGGGAGGGGGGGACACAGGGAGATGGGGGAGCCCCGGAGAGGCTGCGTGGGGGGGTGTCTGAGCCCCCACAGGCCCTCCTGTGCAACGTGGGGGTCCCTGCGAACCCACAGCTCTGCCTGCACCCCTGCCCACGTTCCTGCCCTCCAGCCACGCCGCAGGGGTGCAGGCAGGGGTGCAGGCAGCAGCCCGGCTGGCAGGAGCACCCCAATGTCCTGCCCGCCCCTCCCCGGCCCTGCCCACGTACCCGGGCAATGATGCAGCCACCGCCTGTGAAGTGAAAATATGAACATTATTTAATAACTGAGTCTCTGTAATAAACCATTTGAAAATATTTTACAAGGAGTCACACGCACGATATCTTACAAATTGTCTTTTTGTTGGTTTTTGAAGTTTTCCAACTCTTCTGTACAAAAAAAAAAAAAAAGAAAGAAAAAAATTTAAAACCCAAAGAAATTAAAAATAAATTAAAGAAAATCAATTAAAAACCCAACGCCTTTGAATGAGCAGAGAGAAGCTTTCAGGTGGGGACAGGGCAGGACGCGACCCCAGCGGGACGGGGGGGCCCGGGGTCACGCCGCCCCTTCGTCTCATTGGTTTTTAACTTAAAATAGACTATATATGTATATATTTATAGGTATGTATAGTGGTGGTTTTCTGGCAGAGCACCTAACTAGACTACAGAAGTACACACACTCCCGGTAACACAGAGCCATCTGTTCAAACACGGTTCCCAGAGACAGTAACCAAACACACACTGAAAAAGCTACAAGCAGAATGACCATTAATTAACCCCAGCACTAATTAGCGCCTGGCACCCTCCCCATCCCCCCCCGGGGTGGCCTTGCCGAAGGGGCTCCCCTGGCCCCGGTTGTTTGGGTGGCTCTGAGCGGGGTCCCCCGGGGGGGTGAGGGTCCCCAGGGCTGCCCGCCCGGGCAGGGGCCCCCAGCACTGCCGGGAGCGGTGGGGGGGCATGGGTGGTGGGTATGGCACCCCCTCCACCACAGCGCCCCGGGGTGGCACGGCCAGGCACCCTGCACCCTGTGCTGGGCCCCCCCCAGCCCCACAGCACCTCTCCTGGCTGGGGTGGCGGGGTGCAGCGGGGTGCAGGGGGGTGCAGGGGGGGTGCAGCGGGGTGCTGGGGCCAAGCAGCTGCTCCCTCTGCCTCCTCAGCACCCAGCATTTTGGCTGGGGGGGACGACACCCCTACCCGAGTGCCCCAGCGTGAGCCCCGGCACCTCAGGGTGCTCCCCCCCCCCTTCCCCCCAAATCCTGGGTGCCCCCCAACTGGGACCTCAGCAGCACCCAGGGATCGGCTCCCCTCACTGCGGCCGGCCGGCAGCCCCCCCAATGGTGCCCCGAGGGACGGGCATGGGGGGCCTGGCACGTCCCTTCTGGGGACACGTGGCACCTCCCACTCCACTTCCCACTCGGGGACGTGTG